GCCGTTGGAGGCATTTTCCACCTGAATCTAGGTGGAGTCCAGTTCCCCCCCGCCCCCATATCTTATTTACTGGTTCTGTTTGTCAGGAACTGTTTTTCTTTTTGTTTCAGTCCCTTTATTTTGGAGCACTTTAGTCAGCTTCCACACTCACACTATCTGGTGAAATCCTCCCTGTCTAATTGTGGTGGTGTTCCTTTCCCTCTCCACCCTGTCATGTCCCTGCAGTTTAAGCTCTATCCTCTGGACACTTCCTTCTATTGGAGTTAATCAAGGAATAATGAATGTACTACAAAGTAGCCAAGTATTAAATATTAAAGCTTTTTTTATTATTAATGTTTTGGCTCTTAAACCTCTAGTATGGTCAATCTCCTCAGTTATAACTTTTCTTCACCTTTTTAGTTCTCTTGGGTCCTCAGTCTGTGTTTCTACCCATTTCTTCAGGCTGCTAAAATGCTCAGAGAGCCAGTTTTCAAGCCCAGTCTGCTTTCAGTCATTCTCAAATTCTGCAGTTTTTGGTATTGATGACTTCCCTCCTTAAAATGTTCTACCTTAGCTTCTAGGAGACTATCTCCCACCCTGGCTTTTTGGTGGTGGTGTTTTTGTTTTTAACTTTTTGATAATTTCTTCTTAGTCACCTTGATTGATATCTCTGTTCCTGTTTGCAGTTTGTGCCTCCTGGGACGTGGACTACTCCAAAATATGTATGGGGCAGCCTTCCTGTGAGATCCTTTGCTGGCTAACCCCATCTGCATAGATGTTGGGCCCAGTCTTCAGACTGAGTGTGTCATACTGCTGTACCATTTTCCCTTCTGTTCATATCTCACAATCTAGTCACAAAGCTAAAAAGTTCTGAAATTTCTTTACTACTACCCCTTCCTGTCTTCTGGTTTGACCTTGCCAGGAACATCTTCACATTTATTTTCAGCTTCATTCCTATAGTTGAGAGCTTTCTCCTGGATATTAGTGATTGTATCAGAATTGGTCTGCCTGCTTCCAGTTTGTCCTTCACATCTTCAGTGTTAATTTCTTTCAGCACAGTCTTCTATCAGAAACCTCTACAGGTTGCACTTCTGATAGTAAAATCTCCTCCTTACTGGGGCTTTTGAAATGCCTTTAAGTTAAAGCCATATTTGGCTAAGATTTAGCTGCATTATAATTACAGAATGTACACTTTTTGTTTTCAGTTGCCACCGTATGATTAATTCAATATGACTTCCAAATCAGAATTTAGAGTGTTTGGGGGATCCTAGGTATTGATAGGTATATTTAAAAATTGGTGTTGGTTAAATGAGACTTAGAAGCCAACATTGTAGAGTAGGGAGTGAGTTAGAGAAATGGGGTCTGTTTCTAGTTTTTCATTAATTTTTGTTTCTTGGATCATTGTATTCACGTCTTGGCAAAATTAAAAAAAAATTGATATAGGAATTGAACCCAGGGGTGCTCTACCACTGAGCTATATCTCCAGCCTTTTCATTATTTATTTTGGGACTGGTCTTGCTAAGTTGCTGAGGCTGACCTTGAACTTGTGATCCTCCTTCCTCAGCCTTCCAGTCATTGTATGTACACCACCACACCTGTGCAGAATAAAGACCCTTAACTTAAATTGTAAMGATCAGAAAAATACTATTCTTACACTATACTATTAAAAATAGTATTAAGGGCTGGGGATGTGGCTCAAGCGGTAGCGCGCTCGCCTGGCATGCGTGCAGCCCGGGTTCGATCCTCAGCACCACATACCAACAAAGATGTTGTGTCCGCCGAGAACTAAAAAATAAATATTAAAAATTCTCTCTCTCTCTCTTTCTCTCTCTCTCTCTCTCTCTCTCTCTCTCTCTCTCCTCTCTCACTCTCTCTTTAAAAAAAAAGTATTAAAAATACTATTACTTACAAAATACTTTTTAAAAAAATGTAGTAAGAATGTACATGTGATAAGAATGTAATAGTAATGTAATAAGATTGCGTAGGTTTTATTAGACTAGATAGTCTTATTTTTCTGAATCTGCTACTTCCTTAATTTGAAGGGTAATGTTCATTTATATAAAAGTGTGGGGKTTTTTTTAGACACGATTGAAGTGATCATGATTATGTGTGGTTTAGGTTAGATGGGATTGAAGTATATTTAGCACTCTTTTAATAAATGATTAAATAGCCTAATTGCCTTCATATTAAGTATATGCTAGGATCTCAGTATATCCTTCTCTCCCCCCAGAATTCTTTCATGTTTTTTTGTTTTGTTGTGTACTATACTAGGGAAGGGATGCAGGTTTTGATGCATACTAAGCAAGTGCTCTACCACTAAGCTACTTTCCTAACCCTTTATAAATTTTTTTGAGACTAGGTCTTGTTAAGTTGTCCAAACCAGCTTTGAACTTTAGATCCTTCTGCCTCAGCCTCCCAGTAGCTGGGATTATAGACTTGTACTACTCTTAGTGACAGTTTTGTTGAGATACAATTCACATTCAGTGGGGTTTTTTCTCCATTATATTCAAGAGTTGTGGTCCATCATCCCTGTCAAATTCTAGAACATTTTCATCACTTCCAAAGGAAACCCATATCCATTAGCAATCACTCCCCATTTGTCTGCTTTTCAGCCCCTGGAAACCACTAAACTTCCATTTCTTCATTTTTATTTCATTGTGTGGATGTACACAAATATTCACAGCATCATTACTCATAAGACCAAAAATGAAAATAATACTAATGTTCATCAAGTGATAAATGTTCATTTAAAAAAAATCTATCACTTGATGAACATTAGTAGTATTTTCTTTTTTGGCCTTATGAGTAATGATGCTGTGAATATTTGTGTACAATTTTATGGGCAAGTTTTCATTTCTCTTGTGTATATACCTAGGAGTAGAATTCTTAGGTGGTATGTTATTCCATGTTTAACTTTTTAAGAAACTGCAAAACTGTCCAAGTGCCTGCCCCATTTTATAATTCTGTTGTAGTGTATAAGAGTTACAAATTCCCCATAGCCTAACACTTGTCCCTTTTTTTTTCTTTAAAGCCATCCTAATAGATATGAAGTGGAATTTCTTTGTACTTTTGATTTGTGTTCCCTTTTTTATGGATGACAGTATGTTTTATTATAATTAGTAGCACATTAATTGCTCAAATTAATGGGATTCAYGGTGATATTTCCACACATGCATGCATCATGCATTGATCATGTCCATCCATCCTTCCTTCTAACCTCTCTCTCCTTTCTCCTTCCCTACTTTCCTAATTCCTGATAATTCCACTTTCAGATCTTTTTAAAAAATATTTTTTAGTTATAGGTGGACACAATATTTTATTTTTGTGTGGTGCTGAGGATCGAATCCAATGCCTCACACATGCTAGGTGAGCACTCTACTTCTGAGCCACAACCCAGCGTCTCAGATTTTTTTTTCCAAATTTCCACATATGAAAGAAATATGCAATACTTGTCTCTCTGTGACTGGCTGAACATGATGTCTTAACATGTTTCTCTTAACATATCTTCCAATTCCACCCATTTTGCTGCAGATGACTAGATTTCATTCTGTGGCCGAATAATATTCCATTGTGTATATATTATTATATATTGTATATATCTTATTTTCTTTAGCCATTCATATGTTCAGGGGCAGCTAGACTGATTCCATATCTTAGCTATTGTGAATAGTGTGTTAATAAACATGAGCATGCAAGTATCTCTTTTGTATGCTGACTTCATTTCCCATAGATATATACACATAACTAGGAGAGGGATAACTGGATAATATGATAGTTATACTTTTACTGTTTTGAAGAACCTCCATACTGTTTTCTATAGTAGCTGTACTAATTTACATTTCTACCAACATGCTTGCCAGCATTTATATTTTGTTCTGGTAATAGCCATTCTAAATGGGGTGAGGTGGAATCTTATTGTACCCTAATGACTACTGATATTAAGTAGTTTTTCCTATATTTATTAGGTATATTTGTATAGCATCTTCTTTGTAGAAATGCCTCTTAAGATCCCTTGATCATTTGTTGATTGGATTATTTTTCTTTTTTATTGTTGAATTTATTTCTTTATATATTCTAAATATGTATTGCTTATATGAGTTGCAAATCTCTAGGTTACCTCGTCTTTTTTCATGCATCTTTGTTTCTTTACTTTATAAATTTTGGGGTATCAATATTTTTCATCTTTTAGTGTTTAAACTCTGTTAAATTTGTGACTCCGTAGTTCTTGCTTTAGTAAAGCTGACATATGAACCAAAGTAATTAATGAGGCATAAAAATTATGGATAAAGTTAATATAAATATCACATTTCTTAAAGAACATGCAAGAATTAAGAACTGGTTTAAGATTTTGTTTAACTGTTCTTCATTCCAAAATAGCAAATATAACATGATAAAAGGTTATGTTTTTGGCCAATGTAGAACCAAGTTAAAGCTGTTGTCTTTGTTATTAGCAATAAGTATTCATCTATTCTGTTCTTAGAACTTAGAGATTTTCTAAGAGAAATATTAATAGCAAGTGATTAATATGTTTCTGAATGTTGATCACATAAATTTGAAATGTGAGTGCAGCAAAGACCTTTAAATAATTGTTATTTTGTTAGAGAAAGAGGGGCTATAGGAATGGAGTTTTTCCAGCCCAGCAGCTCTAACCATCTGCTCTGCATTATGAAAGAAATTTTAGGTGTTACTAATTTGCAAACTGGGAAATGATCAGCTCCCAGTCAAGGTTTTAAGAAACATGTATGAGAATAATAGAATCCAGCAGTTTAAGAAATATTTACTTTTAGATTTCAAGCGAGGAGAGGATGCTATGGGTGAAATCTCCTTATATTTCATGTAATGGTGATGAATGGCTTCTGCAATATATGTAAGCTTTAAATAAAGTTTGATGTCTGAAATCAGTAGTAACTCTTGGGGTTTTTTTTATTAGATGATAARTATAATTTAAAAGATGTAAGAATATTTCAGTCTACATTTGGCATAATAAAAATTGCAAGGCTCTTTCTCATTTGTCATCATAGGCCTCAGGAGTGCAAGTGGCTGATGAAGTATGTCGCATTTTTTATGACATGAAAGTTCGGAAGTGCTCCACACCAGAAGAAATCAAGAAAAGAAAGAAGGCTGTCATTTTTTGTCTCAGTGCAGACAAAAAGTGCATCATTGTTGAAGAAGGCAAAGAGATCTTGGTTGGAGATGTTGGTGTTACCATAACCGATCCTTTCAAGCATTTTGTGGGAATGCTTCCTGAAAAAGATTGTCGTTATGCTTTGTATGATGCAAGCTTTGAAACCAAGGAATCCAGAAAAGAAGAATTGATGTTTTTTTTGTGGTAAGCATGTTAGAAATATGGAGTCTCTCTAAATCTCAGAGCTGGTCTCTTACTGTGAGCACTTAAAGAACCAATTCTGGAACCAAAGAAATTTTTAATCAAGCTGTTTGTAGTCATGATCATTTAATTTTTGTTTATAAGATTTCATAAGGTCTTAGCTGAATTGATGTTTTTAGAACCAAAACTAAAATTTAACCTACTTTTGTCTACTTCTAATTGACATTTTTGGGGAGTGGGAAAGGGCAGGAAACAGGTTTCTATGGATCCTCTAAACTCACTGCTTTATAAGATAAAATTTTCTTTTATTTCTTCAACCAACATGCCATGCTAAGAATCAGCCTCCCACTTGTTTTGTTTTGTTTGGTACTAAGGATTGAACCCAGGGGCTCTCTACCACTGAGTTACACTGGGTATGGCTGATAAGGGCCACACCCAGTGCTGATGATTATGTGTCCTAAAATATGGCAGCTGAGTGGAATTGTGTAATGGCTCAAAAGTATTTTGCAATACTCTTTTTGGTATTTTGGTAGTGTGATATAGAGCCAGGSCTGAGGCTTGGTGATAGAGACAGAAGGGGGGCATTTATGTATGAACAGTCTGAGGATGATGAGGTTTACCTGCCCATTATTGATATTTCTGTTGTTTTTCAATGTTGCTGGTAAAGAAAGCGTTGTAAAGCATACTCAGCTTCCTCCATATGCTTGCATTCATGAGGAGGAAGGCACTAAAATTTGGGAAATACAAGAATAATGCTAATATTGACAAATAAGACATTTATTACTGACTAGCCATTAATTTAAAAGAAGTCTTTGAAAGCTCCATATTGAATCTTGAGATTACATGTGCAGATTTAATTTTTTTTAAGAGAGTTATCAAAACTCAGGGCTGATCCCCAGTTTGGTAATTGAACATGTATTATGCTAGACTAAAATGGAAAACTAATAGCTATGTGGTCAGAATCTGCCATCGGAATAGATATAAATGAAAGGAATGAGGAGAGTTAAGAAGGACATTTGTACTCAATTTATAATTTATTTCTTTAAGAAAGCAGTCTGAAGCACAAATGCCAAAATGCTAGCATTTTAAAACTCTGGGTGGCAGATACTTGACTTACAGGTTTTTCTCTGTACTTCTATGTATTTTGAAACTTTTTTCGTTAGAAAACCTGTCAAGGGGCTGAGATTGTGGCTCAGCCGCAGAGCGTTTACCTAGCATGGGCGCGACCCGGGTTTGATTCTCAGCACCACATAAAAATAAAGGCATTGTGTTGTGTCYATCTACAAAAAAAAGATTTTTTTTTTCTCTCTCTCTCTCTCTCAAAAAAAAAAGAAGAAAAAGAAAACCTGTCAAAATCTTATATGAGTATTTGCCTAAACTCAAGCCTTTGTTATAAAACATGAAAAAAATATTTTAAAGAAAACAATTTGGGTTATATATCATTACCCAGTGTTGGTTCTTTTATTATGGTAACATTAATATGATTCTTTTGTGTGTRTGTATGTGGGGGTACTGGGGATTGAATCTAGGGGTACCTATCATGGAGCTACATCCCTAGTCCTTTATTTTTTCTTTTGAAGTAGAGTCTTGCTAAGTTGCTGAGGTGGCCTTGAACCTGTTATCCTCCTGCCTCAGACTCCCAAGTCACTGGGATTGTAAGCATGTGCTCTACACCTAGCTCATCTCTACCCTTTTTATTGTCTATTTTGAGACAGTCTTGCTAAGTTCCTGAGGATCTTGCTAAGTGGTTGAGGCTGTCCTTGAACCTGATGTGTTATCCTCATGCCTCAGCCTCCTGTGTAGCTGGGATTACAGGTGTCTATCACTGTATCTGGCTTCCTCATTAGTTTAATTCTAAATCAGTGATTCTTTTTTTCTACCAGAGCCTCTCTATTTTTCTTAACTCTGGTCAACTTGAATGCTTTTCCATATGCCTATATTTCTAACAGTTATGCTCTGAAGAGGTGGAGAAATAGAAAAATTCTTTAGGAGATTTTAGGCCCTTCATCCCATCACAGATGCAGATTAATAAATGTAAGCTATACTTTCTCTAAATCCAATTTTTCATTTTTGGCATCTTTCTGTCTAGGGCACCAGAATTAGCGCCTCTGAAAAGTAAAATGATCTATGCGAGCTCCAAGGATGCAATCAAAAAGAAATTTCAAGGTATGGACTAGCTTTACCTCTAGATATTAAAGATAAGACTTTCTCCCAGAATAGGGATGCAACTTTTCTAAGAAACACCTCATTTTCTTTGGATAGCTTTAGGCACAAAGTTGGGGGAGACCTTTGCTTGTTTTAAGGGGAAAAAAAAATAGGCTGAAACCTGGCTCTCAGAGGGACTTTTGCTTTGGACTGGTCCATTGAGACTCCAGGGTCCATGTTAATAACTCCATTCTTCCAACATTGTCTGTATATTATTTGTTCAGGCTGCTTTTAAAGGTTTTGTTTTGCTGGGGATTGAGCCCATGGCCTGATGCACAGTGGGCAATCACTCTATCACTGAGCTACATCCCCAGCTCTACAGACTGGTTTCTCATGCAGCAAGTGGGAATTAATTGATTTACATTGGTCATACTTAATATAGTTTGCTATTGCCTATGAATGTAGTTGATACAATAAATTAGCAAAAGGAAATGTTCATAGATGTGAAGAATGCATTTATCTCTGACTTTACTATCAAATGGTATGATTTTAAGTAATTAATTCATCTGTGTCCAAAGGAAAGTACACTCACTCCATGAGCTGGCCAGGTATATTTGACTTGCCACTGGCCACTGGGTGATTTGGGTCCGGAAGAGATGGCCTGGCCAGATTTCAGCCAGGAGGAAGTGTTGGTATGGTGGACAGAGCATGGAGCATGTGGCCAGAGGCCTTCACGGAGAGCTAAGCTTGTTGTCTAACTGCTTTGTAACCATGGGCAGAACTGCCTCACTTCCATGGGCCTTGATTCCCTCAGTTCTAGACTGGGAGCCTTGGTCTGAGTGTTTGACTTGCCACCTCCCTGCCGTAGCTATCTCTAAACAACTGAGTGAGTCAAGGTCTCGAGGGCTTGCCCAGTATTGGTTTTATTTGTTTTTCTGTGATTGGTTCTTACAAACTTGCAGTAGAACAGGTTTGCCCTAATATGTTTTACTTAGTTAAAAAACAAAATTTTTACTTCCTTTCTGGAACCCTGCTGCTGCATATTTCGTGCCTTGTCAAGTTCTTCATGCATTTGGCTTGATGTTGGGGTGTCCCAGAAGCATGTTCACTAGTCTGTTAACTGGCCTCTTCTAACGACTCCTTGGCTTTAATACTTCTACAGTGAAACCAAAAAACAGTCAGCATGGGTTCCTCATGGTCCTTATTTTGTATTTTTTTTTCATTGAAAGGAATTGCTGTGTGGACTTAATTTGTTGATAGTAAATGACAGTCATCTTTGTAGCAGTGGGAACCAATTGGTTTACATTGGTCATACTTAACAATTGTAATTTCTTCTAGTGAAACTGTCACTGGCTTTTTCAGATCAGTCCTGTGTGGCCCATAAGCCAACTTGCTTGAAAATGATCTTGAAATGATGGAATAATAGTGCAGCTATTTAAAATGTAGTAGCTCTCTTTACAGAGAAACCACTGTATGCAATTTTGTAATTGAGCTTGTTCTGTAGTAGGGTGATGTAATTTTTCTAAGAAAGCCATCAGCACCACGTTTTACATAGTTTTCATTGCAGTAGATTTCTTATGTAGTATAATACCACTAGAGAGCTAGCTGTTTTCTGTAGCAAAAGTGATGTTATTGGTAATTTTCTCACTTCAGTACAGTTGCTGAAATCAACTGTGCAATCAAAACATATAATTCTTATTTTTATGTATATTTTAGAAATTAAGAAAAAACTTTATTACTTGCCCTGCCTTTTTTTTAAGTGACGTATAATATATCTGTAGAAAAATATGCATCATAAATTATTGTAGAATTCCATGGATTCTTATAGACTGAACATAATGTTGTTTTTTATTTAATATCAGCACCTCAGAAGCCCCCCTTGAGGACTTCTGTTTATAACACTAACCTCCTACCCCTGCCTCCACAGGGTTGCTTCTAACAGCCAGAGTTAGCTCGGGCTGATTTTGTATGTTATTCAAATGGAACCATGCAGAATATATGCTTGTTGTTCTGGCTTTTTTCAGTCAACATCATCCATTTTGATGCATGTGGTTACTTATTTCTTCTCATTATAGTATTATGTGGTTTTTAAATACCACAGTTTATCCATATTAGAAGTGGTCTTTAAAAATGGTTTGCCATATTAGATAAATAATTAAGCTGCTGAGGCTGGGGTTGTGGCTCAGCGGGAGAGCACTCCCCTAGCGCGTTCGAGGCCCTGGGTTTGATCCTCAGCACCACATAAAAATAAATAAAACAAAGGTATTGTGTCCAACTACAACTAAAAAATATAAAAAATAAAGTAAGCTGCTGATGTTATTCTAAATAGAATTGTTTTTCTTCTCTAGGCATAAAACATGAATGTCAAGCAAATGGGCCAGAAGACCTCAATCGGGCTTGTATTGCTGAAAAGCTAGGTGGATCCTTAATTGTAGCTTTTGAAGGATGCCCTGTGTAGATGATCATTCAGTGCCACAAATTGAAAGCTTCCATGTTCAATGTTATCCTCTTGCTATATAAGGAAAGTAAATATATTTAGGCCAGGGTCTCACTGAGGGGGAGCTGTTTTGTCATCTTTTAGAGTAAACAAAATATTCTATAAACATGTGCAAACACAGCCCTAAATAAATTTAGAATCTAAAAGGCTTATTGGTATGAAATTAAATTTTTATTGGCCAAATGCCTGTTTTGATGAGTTGACTTTTAAAGATTTTCGTAAGCTCAGGAATTTTAATAATGCATTTCACAAAACAGTACAAAGCCATGTGAAGAGAATTATTGTATGTTTGTTAACCTTAGCAGTTACTTTGGGGTTTTTTGGTTAGAGAATTGGTGATAATTTGATTATCATTTTGGCCCCAAATTATTTTTAATTCTCTATTCTTCCTTGACTTAAACAGAATAATGGGATATAATTTTTGCTTTAACATGTGATAACACTAATACACTAATTAACAGTAAGACTAAGGCAGTCTTTTAATTCTACTTAATGTGTAATGGAAACTATCAAATTGTCCACGTGTAATTCACGCTGATCTTGCAAAGCACTGTTTCAATCACATCATTGAAAAAGAGGAAGCAGCCCTTCCTTGTACCTGAGGTGAACTTGCAGCCCACTAGTTGGGATACTGTTTTGAGAGTGACCTTGCATCTTGGAAATCATGGTATGTCTTCTGGAGAAGGTACATTGTCTCCCAACAACAAATTATAATGCAAATTAGGGCTCCATTGTAATCTGCTTTGTTCATGAAAATGATAAAACAGTATATTRATAAGCTAGGACACCTGCAGTATGTTTCCTTCAGAGCTTTGCTGCATCTGATTCAATAAGATGTAGAAGAACACTGAATATGTTTCCTCTGGAACCTGGGAGAACAAATTTCCTAGAGCAGTTTGTTGACTGTGTGGAGTGGGGTGCAGGTACCATGGATGAAACTCATAGGGAGCCACCACCCAATGACACTTGGAAGTGATTGTCATTAACATCACAGGCATGACACTTTGAAAAATGTAGAGATGCACAGTTGAACTTAGAAGTAGCAGTTACTGGCTTATGTAATAAAGGAAGCATTTTTAACTTACTTCTTGTGTAATTATTCTTGTGTGAATTGGGATGAAGTATTTTTTTTCCATATGCGATAAGTCATCAAGGTTTTTATTTCTGACAGTTAAAATCACAGCACTTCCTCCTCAGATTGAATGAGAAAGTTGGTGTAAAAATTGGGAACCTTTTTCTAATTCCAAATCGTCATCCAAAGGCCAGGCTTTGGGGAGGCAAAAAAAAAAAGGTTATTGTGCTTTCATTCGAATATCTCTTTCCAAAGAATCTTTTCCAAAGAATCGAGAAAATAGTGCTGGCTGCTTATCATTCTTTCATCCTGAATTTCTGGTTTTCTCTACTTCGAAGCATTAGTCACAGTCCCCCCAAAGAAGTGCTGCCAGCCCAAGGCTGCCCCTGTCCAGAATCAGTTCTGTGGGTGGAGCCAGGAATGTGATCCAGGCTCTGCTTTGATCACTCATTCTTGCTGCGACCTACAGGCACATGGGTGTATGTGCATATGAAAGAGACAAAGAGACATACATGCCTGGGAACGATTGCAAGCAATATGCACATCTGTAGTATAAATGTCTGTGAGCATTCCTCTCTTATTCCAGAAATGGGGAAGATGTTAACAGTTACTTATGTCTCTAGATCCTGTTATGTTGGGTACTTGATCACTGAGCCACATCCCCAGCCCTATTTTGTATTTTATTTAGAGTCAGGATCTCATTGAGTTGGTTAGCACTTTGCTTTTGCTGATGCTGGCTTTGAACTCACAATCCCCCTGCCTCGGCCTCCTGAGCTGCTGGGATTATAGGTGTGTGCCACTGCACCTGTGAAAAGTCTGAGGTTGGGACAGGTGCTTCTTTGTAAAGTCAGGGTTTAAACTTCAGCTGACACTAGTCAGAAACAAAGCTGCAAGTGTATTCCTTTTCCAGAAAATATACTTGTATCTTCACAGGGGTCAACACATTACAAAAATGATTGTGGAAGACTTAGGGTTCCTTTTGTAGTTACTCTTAGGCCCTGAGAAAGAGCAGGTAAAGCCAGTGCCACAGAATCCAGCCAGAACTTCCTTAGCTGTGATGTTTGTTATTTCAGAGAAGAGTACTCAAAGAAAAAGCCCAGTGACTTGGGTAATAGAATCAGGTTTAGTCTAGTGGCCTCCTTTTTGTAGAACTACTGTTGAGAGTGGACACAGTTTCTGTTTCTTGACAGGCTTGTTGCTCTTTGGAACATGGGAGACTGGATTTGCCCAAAGACACGCCAATTTCTTATGATTTGGGGCACTTCTGAAATACAGTAACAGGCTCTAGACTAGGAGAGGGGACGTAAGTTGTACTACAGGAGTACCTCAAGCTGAGTGACTATATTTGGCTGGCCAGGGCTCTCCCAGAAGGGAATCTGGGAAGGGACTTTCAGGGCCTCTAGCCAGTCCTTCAGTAGCCAGCCCAGAGGTAACTTGCCTAATTACATCTCTCAACTCAAGTGGCAGAACTGGGACAAACTCGGATCTCCTCATTCCCACTAATGAAAATTCCAGTTTGATGCTCACTGGAATTCAAAGGTTAGATCTTGTTCACGCATTGGATGAGATTCAAAAGAGGGAAAAAAACAATCATTTCTTTTGGTCTCAGTGTAGATCCAAACCTGAAGGAAGCTCAAAGAGGAGGCATTTGGAGGGTGCTGGTCAAGTAGCTTCTAAGGCTGTCCTTGCCCCTCCAGTCCAACACCAATGCCTTGCTGATGTCCCTACTCTCCCTGTCTTTATCACACCRCTTCCTCCTCCAGGTGCGTTAGGTGCTGCCTTACAGGCCAGGCATCCTGGTGCCTTTGCGTTTCAGTGTCATTCGGAAGATGACCAGATTAACATCATCAAAGAGCAGTGGTCTGTGTGATGGGGTTTCCAGGTCTGGTGGAACAGTTTATGAACCATGTGACTCTGGGATGTCTGTACTCTGAAGGGAAGGATTTCGGCTGGATGTTTTTATTCTGCACCCTCCAGCTCTGGTACTGGAAGAAAGGGTAGCAGCAGCATAAGTCCAGGCCATGGCCCTAAGAACCAGCCCAGGGAGAGCCATGCTTCCTCTGTTAGATTCCTGCTTTCACAGTTAACAGCTTCATCCCAAAGGACTACAAAAGCTAGTTCTCCATTGCTGCCTGAAAACTCCTACATTTCTAGTTTAGCAGGACAGGGATCTTCAAATGGCCAGCCCCGTGAGCCGGGCCCTCATAAGGATCTGTACCATGCTAATACTGGAAGAACACAGGGAGCATGTTGGCAGTCGTGACACTGTTTTGCAAGCMGTCTGCCAGGGGCTGCACCTCAGGTGTCCTCCTGAGCACTTTTCTTCTGCCTTCAGCATGGTGGTGGAACCTTGCCCATGAATAGCTGGGTGACCTGGCCCAGCTAAGGCAAGGCACACTTGGGCTCCCTCTGCTGGCCTTTGAAATGCCACTACTGGGGTAGGTGAGGTCCCCTGAGTTTGAGCTGCAGTAGGAAGGTCCCCGTAAGTGGCACTTTCCTGAACTCCCCAGGCCAGCTGGGCCCACACTATGCACTCCCTTTGTCTTGTCTCCTTTCACACAGGTGGACACAGTGTCTGACAAGGGGGTAGGGCCATGACCAGAAGCCATTGCCTCTTTGAACCCAAGGTGGCTTGATAACCCCAGCAATTTTTCCCTGAGTTCTCCTCTTTCCTCTACTAAAAATGAGTAGCCCTCATTCCAGTGCCTTTGAAGGCATCTACCCAGTGTGGAAGCTCTTCATTTGTGCAGTGTAATGGGGTGGAGAGGAGTTTATTGGAAATGCAGGCTCCCAGGTTCATAATGGCAATTGAGTGGGAGTCCTGGTATAGGGCACAGGTGTGGTCTGTACCACACCTACTCACCAGGGCCCCAAACCAGTGACCTAAATAAGGCCACCTGTGTGGGGTTAGACTTCTGCCTGGCAAAACTAGGATAGAAATTCAGATCTGCTTCCCTCTACTCCTTTGGAAAATTCCAGCTTAATGCTAACTATAATTCAAAGGTTAGATCTTGTTGAGTGGATTGGATGGGTTTGAAAGGGGCAAGAAAAACAATGCATTTCTTTTGGTCTCTGAGCATAGACCCAAACCTGAGGAAAGCACAATGATGAGGCATTTGTGGAGGATATTGGTCAGGTGGCTGCTCAAGCAGTCTCCACCCTTCCTGTCCATCACCATCATCTTGCTAKTGTCCCTGCTCTCCCTCACCCAGAGACTTTCCTCTGGCTCTGAGCCTTGCTTCAGATGCATAGTGCACACAGCAGATGCAGATGCAATTTGGGGCACCACACACGTATAGGGCCACAGCTATTAGTGGGGTTTTGCATCCTTAGAAAACACCTGTGGCCCATTCAGAGTGCCGATGCACTGGGGGGTGTAAGAAGTGGTTTGGAACCAGCCCTGCAGCTTGCCAGGTGAGTACCATCATTTCCATGGGCTCTGGTTCACTTCATTGAAGACCAGGTGCTGTGAGTTGGGTATGAGTGGGCATTAGGTGTTCTTGTCATTTGCTTCCTCATTCTCCTGGTCAGTATTTCAAGACCTGTGGGGTGCCCCTCCACATCACCTTCCTCCATAGAATCCTAGAACAGGAGTATCCCCCTACACCTGCTTAAAAACCCTTAGTGGCTTCTACTGCCCTGTCTAGTCCAAACCCCTTGGTCTTAATGACTTTTCAGCCTCACCTTCCCCTCTGCACCCACTGTCCCCTGAGGGAACCCTCTTGCAAACTCCAGCTTAAGCCCACTTCTCCAGGGAGACTGCCCGGGATTTTCCAGCACCTTGTCTCCAATTTAGCCATTAACATTCAAGTGGTTCACACACAGGTGCTGGGATGGGGTGGGGGGGGGTGCTGAATAAAAAGGCAAAAGGACACATCTACCAGCATTACACCTCCCTAGGTTCCTGGGACAGCCACTAGAATCATATCCACCACTCAAGGGGGGCTGAGATACAGATCCCAGAAGTGTGAAAACAACCCTGTCTTGTAGGATCTGCCATCTTAAGTGCCCAACATCCCCTAGCCAAGTTTTGCCAATTAAGACTCTCCAAAGGATTTGGAGACTCGGCAGGGCAGGGAGATGAATGTGGAATAGCACTTGGCCAAGGCAGCCCCTTAACAAGACTGGCTGATATTGGACACTGGACCTGCTCAGACCTACCTTCCCATCCTGGCTTGGTTCAGGCCTTGCTGTGATTCAGGATCTCGAACATTCTGTATAAACCCCAGATTTCAGATTTCTCAGTTAAGAAGCTCCACACCTCTTGGGCCAAAGTTCCCCTGGACCATTCTGTTATGGGCCAAGAACTCTGGGTCTGAGACTTGGCAGAAGTCTAAGCTGGCTTCTGCCACAGGACAGGTGGGAGGGGCTGCTCCAGCCCTGAACCCCTCCCAAGGTATGGACCTTCATCCAAGGCCCTGCGCACATGGAGACCCTTGTTCATTCACAGAGCTTACTTCATACCACAGTAGGCCACCCACCCCCCTGCTCACAGAAATCTCACATCCTCAAGGGTGGGGTATAGCAGTCAGGCCATCTGACCACTGGGTGTCAGGCATTGTTTTCTCATCTGCCCACCAACCACTGAAGCCTGGGAGGCGATGGAAAATACTGGGGCCCAAAAAAGATTTTATCCCCATTTTACATAGCTGCTGGTCCCCTGCTTGCAGAGAAACCAAGACTATGCTTACACTTTGTCCCAAAGACAGCCCATCTTGGGCCCAAAGTAAGATGGGGGAACCCCAGAAGACCAGACGACACTGCAGCGCCGGGCAACACATTGGTTTTAATGGCATTAACATCCAGGTGGTCACACGTCAGTTCTGCTTGGCAACTTCCAGGGGTGAGGAGTTGTTGCTTCACTGGGCTGGGCTGAGGCCCTCCAGTTTCCCCAGCCTCTGAGAACTCACCACCTGGTCCAGCCACTTCCCGACCCCAACCCCACTGAAAAAAGACATGACAATTGCACTGATTGACATAGATCCCTAAGCACCCTGGCCTCCCGGCACAACCCGGTCTGTCAGAGTCAACAAGGGCTTTGGCGTCGGCTCAAGGTGGTCCAGGACTGCTCCAGGGAATAGTGTTTATCAAATGTGACAAATGTTCTTGTACAGACTGGGGGTCTGGAAGATTTATTTCTGTGGTTCTAAGAGACTCTTGTCTCTAATGGCTTCTCTCGGAGCTACTGGAAGTTGGGCCTGGATAACGCTGTGTTGTTGGTTTATTTATTTATAAGGAATGTGTAAGGCATTTTGGTAAAGTTGAACAGTAACTTCTTTTTGCAGAGACTCAGACGGAGGTGCCCTCCTTTGAACTGCTGCCGTCCTCCTGCAAACAAAGGCAGCCATGTGAGAAAAGCTGGGCAAGGAGCCAAGGCATAACCTCTCATGCCATGCCAGGACCTGCAGTCCCCTCCCTGGGCTGACAACCCCAAGCCACTTGTCTGGAGACCCAGAGCTGACTTCCTGGGGCTGGCTGCCTAGGAGTTGGTGGTAGTGAGAATGCAGGATGCAGGAGCGTGAGGGCTTTGAGTCAGGTGAAAAACCCTGCAGGTAGGGGCCAGGACAGAGGCAGGGGGACTGGGACGGGGCCCAAGCAGGCTGCAGTGAGAACCATGCTTCCTGGGCTCTGGGCCCTGTGGGCTAATGTCCGTGATACAAGTATCTGTCCCCAACACCTAGTTCTGTTTCTCCCACTTCCTGCTTGTCCCGCTTCCCTGGGGCTCCAGCATCATACCCAACTCTTTCCAAAAGCTCACTCCCATCCACCCTCCTGGGGGTCAGGGCCCACCTCCAGAACAGGCCAAGCCACAGGGGCTGGGAGCCAGCCCTGTGGCCCCACATGGATGAAGCACTCACTGTTTTTTCCAGCCGTTCTTGCAACTTCTTCACTGTGTCCTTCTCCTTTGCCAGCTGCTCCTGGGTTGTCTTCAAAAGCTCCTGTAGTTTGGTTGCAGCACGTCCCAGATCACTTGTTAACTTCTTCTCTTTTTCTAGTCTCTCCTGTGGGTTTCAGGGTTGGAGGGGATCAGCCCTCACATGACATCAGCAGTAAGACCCTGAGCTGTATACACCCAGAGGGCCCAAATACCTGGGACTGGAGCTTTCCAGGAGCACAAGGAAGCTGTCTACGGGCCACTCAACAACAGACAGTGCTGGTTGGCAGGAAATGGTCTGTGTTGACTGTGCTTCCCACCAGCCCCACTTACCTCCTGGCCTAGGACAACAGGTGTGGGCTACTCTGCATTGTCTAATGTGCCAGCCACCAGATACGTATACCTACCAGTACCTAAAACATGACTTCCAAGTTTTATATAAATTACATTAAATAGCTACACTGACTAATAGCTGCAATGTGACGTGGCTCCCTCCCACCATGTATGACGAGGGAAGCCAATTCCTAGGGGTCTGTTCTCCCGGTCCTGGCCCCTCTCCAAGGTCAAGACTGGTCAAAGCCGCAGGCCCCAGCCCCACCCTCTACCTTCAGCTGTACAGCCTCCTCAGTTCCTGAAGACTCCAGGGGACCAGTAGCACGGAGCTTCTCCAGCTCTTCTTGTAAGCAACACGCTGTGGTCTGAGCCTTATCAGAGCAGAGTGGGCCTGGGTGAGCAGCCTTACCAACATCTCAGCAGTCAATGACCAAATCTGCCTGGGGACCAGGGGCATCCCAAGCCTGATGGTGCAACAGCTCAAGCCTGAAGACACAGACTAGCCTTGAGGTTCCAAGACTAGCCATGAGGTCCCAAGAAGGCTTCAGCATCCACCTGCCAGGATCCCATTGTCCTCCCAACCCCCGGCATGCTGATGGCCCAGCCCAGACACCTGGTGGGCAAAGCAGGGGAGGGCCAGCATGACCAGCTTGCTCCCCACAGACTGTAAGAGTCTGAAAGCTGATAGGGGCTGAGAACCACCAAGCAGGCCTGACCTCCTCAAACTCAGCCGTGAGCTGCTGCCTCCTTGTCTGCTCGTCCTCCAGGGTGGCTTCTGTCCGCTCCAGCTGCATTCTCAGCTGTGGAGATATCACAAACATAACTTGGGAACCTGGTGAAGGACCCTTTTGGGGCCCAGGGCTCTGGGGCAGACTAAGACTATAGGTTCTGCCTTTTAGTTGCTTCTAGGGTTCCCCCAGCCTTGCCCTGCCCCAATGAGCCATCCCTGATGCTCCTGTGGGGAGATGGAACCTCAGTTGCAGTCCAGAAGCTGGTGGGTTAAAAGGATTCTGAGGGAACCTCTGTAATCTCAGGAACCTTTAACAGGACCCACAGGACAAGAAAGATGCCTCAGAGCCATGAGATAAGGCCCAAACCCACAGTGGCTACCCTAGTGACAGGCCCCTGCCTCTTGGCAAGAACTCTTTAAGTGGTAGCTCCTTTGGTCAAAATTCTGAAGAGGGCTGGAAGTGCAGCTCAGTGGCAGAGAGCTCACCCAGTATTTTTGAGTCCCTGGGTTCCATCCCCAGGACCACAAAAATAATAACCACCCCTCTGGAGAGCAGATATTCTGCTAGTAATATCCCAGCAAGAGCCACAACAGGAGACAAGTCCCCTACAGTGGCTGCAGAACCAACCCAAGGCTGCTCTCTCAGCCTGGTAGGTGCACGGTGTACTCCCAGTCTCAGACTACTCCCACCCCCGCCCGCCTCTCTGCCTGGTCACCTTCCCTCTGCTCTGCATCTTTTGGGTCCTGGGTGCACCTAATCCAGGTAAAGAGGGATGGGGAGGGTGCTGGTCAGGGCTGGGAGCAGCCAACATGTCAATCAACATGAAGGCTGCCCACCCTGCACTGTACTTGGGGCTGTTAGTGACACATCTGAGGACCAGCTCACCACCCTAACCTTCACAGGGTCCTGCTCAGCTGGGGAGACGCCTGTGGGGACAGCTGGGGACCCAGCTACGTCACCATCCTCTACGTGGCTCTTCATCTCACTCAACTGCTGCCTGACCTGAAACAGGGAGGGGTGGGTTTGTGCACAGCCAATCACACACACACACCTTACACACACACACACACACACACACACACACACACACACACACACTCCCCTAGAGAGGACCGCAGCTGCTCTTAATAGCTGAGGCCCCTACTGGTTTGCTATCTGTGACTGATGTTTGAGTCCCTACCACTATGCAGATTAGCTGGGCAGGGCCACAGCACCCAGTTTGAGCCAAACAGGCCTGGAGGCCAAGAAGCCTCTAGGCCAATGAGACCCATGTGCTGAGCTTCAAAACAAACTGGTGGGCAATCCTCCTTAGGAGTGAGATGGCCCCTGATAGACACAGACCACACAGGCAGTGAGTCCAAAAGGGAGAGAGAAGCTGCCAACAGTTCTGCCTATACCCTTGGTTTCTTCAAGAACCATGGCTTGGAGCCCTTTCTGGGGTCCAGGGAAGATTATAAGATGACACCTTGCCTTATAAGTTACCCCATCCTCAGCTCTATGGCTGAGGGCAAGTGGCACATCCACTGGCCCCCAAGGTTCCCAGACCACTGAGCTTCTGATTTGAAGGGTGGTAGCATCACTCAGGGAACATGGGTAAAAGTTCTAGTCAGGAGGCATGGTTGGGGACTGTGGTCATGAGCTCACTAGGGGACATAAGTGGTCTCAGGCTCTATTCAAGAGGCCCGGCTCCAAGGGGCAACCTCAACAACCTCTGACTCAACAGCCTGCAAAGGCAAAAGCCAAACTGTAGTTGAAAAGATGATAAGAAAGCCTAGKGGTGGGATTCTGCACATACCCCTTGTATGGGCTGTATACCCTAGGCCTGTAACATCGACCTGGCTTAGCCAATGGCCAAGATGACTGGCCTTAAACTCAGGAGGAGACTTGAGCTGGGTGATACCCCCTCTGGTGTAGTGATCCTGGGTGAGCTCAAGATGGGGACCCAGGGAGCTAGGAACACCTGCTGGGCTTGGTGGAGGCTGTGGCGGGTGCTAGCCTGGCACACCAGAACTTCTTTCTTCTCAGACATCAGTGCTACACATTTTAGCCCCAAATATCTCAATCTCTAAATGCTGATGACTACTTTAAGACTTTTAAGAAAGCCTGTACAGATCTGACAGATGGACTGTGGTTGTAAAGGCTGCCTCAAGCAGGTACTAGATAGGGTGTGACCTCTTTATGGAGGCAAGAGCTGAACCAGTCAAGCAGCTGGGACATGGGATTAGACACAGTAGCTGAAAACTGGGCAAGCCAAGCAGGACTCAGGTCACCTGCACAGCGCAGCTCCTCACATCTGAATGGGGCTTGAGCTCTGCACCCAGAACCTGGCACTAGGCCAGGTGGGGACTAGGACATCCCCACACACCTGTGGATTTGACTGAATGGGTCTGAGCCATTGCTGAGGTGAGGAAACCCCAAGAGGGCAAGGCCTTGCTAAGAGCCACAGTGCGGTGGGTAACCAGGCCAGGAGGGATCTGCAAGGGGTCACTACATCGTAAGTGCTGAAATGGGCTTACAAGGTGAACAGACCCCCAGAACCCCCACTTCCTTGAGCAAGAGAACAGGCTACCAGTGGGAGGGAAATGGGGTGTACACCCTGGTCCCAGTGGTCACAGGCCCAGCTCAGAATTTTAGGCAAATGTTCCAAGAGGGCCTCAAAGAGCCTTCCTGCCCCATGTGGCTAATGGTTGAACACTGTCCCCCTCTGCTAAGCTGCAGAAATCTTTGAGTGAACAACAAAACTTGACTGGCAGATTCATCTCACACACACGAGCCCCGTGCGTCACAGTCCCCATGCTGGACTCAACGTTCACCTACCAGGGCGAGCTCATCACTCTGTTTCTGGGCTTCACTCTTGGCTGTATCCAGCTGAGACTGAGACTCTAATAAAAGTTGCCTCAACTTGAGGAAGAAACAGCCAGGTGATAGGGAAAAGGAGAGAAGAGAAAACCAATTCCAGTGAATTAGAGGCAAAACAAAAACCTAACATCTATTTACCCAAAACACTAGTGATCATCACAGAGCAGGGCCAGGCTTTCCATAGCTACAATTTCCTTTTTGAAGACTTAGGAAGGATAGTGTTCACTGCACACCTATCTCAGGCCTTCTTAGACATCTGCCCTAATCTCTTGTTCAAAAAAAAAAACACAACAAGGCCCCAAGGGTGAGATTAAACCAGGACTCAGGTTGCCAATTTTTTGCTTTCCTCTTCTGAACAGTCAGAAAACAGTTATCAGATTTAAACCCACTCCCTACTGGAAATGACATCAATCAGTAAGCCAGGCAGAGAATTCTCATGCTCAGGGGATGATCTGGAATGTAAAATGCACCCCCTGCTGCAGTGCCCAGCCAGATCTGTCCCTGTTCTGCCCCTGCGCCCCAGAGTGGGGCTGCCTTTTCACAACCTACCCCCAGACACCTCAGATCTGACCCTTTGGTGAGGCATAAGCAGGATTTAAGACAAAACCAAATGACACCGACTTCAAGGCTCATGATGACAAGAACAGCTCCCTAAGGGCTGAGGAAGAGCCACTAGGGAGGACCCAGACTTAGCTAGGCAGGGCATACAAGTCCGTGGAGTGTGCACTCACCCCTGCCACCTCCTTGGCGTAGCTCTGGCACTCAGCGCTGGCAGCTGCCATGTGCTTCTCTAGCTCTGCCTCCAGATGTGATGTGTGCTCCCTCACCTGGATGGACATACACATACATCAGAGCCTCTAATTGGCCAGCAGGGGGCAGTAGCCACAGAGAGTGGGGTGATGGACGTACAGTCTGGCTGGCTCTGATAAGCCCCTGAGGCCCATCAGTTTACCAAATAAATCAAGGCTAATAAGAAACCAAGCCCTAGCAAGAGAACTCCTTGATGAAAAGAGTACCTCAACTCTAGTACTCCTGGGTCCTGACATGTTTTTGACCTAAGGAGCAGGGGAGAGGGCAATTCTTAGATACACTTTCAAAAGTAGGTATCAGGGGCACTTTCTCCAAGGCCAGGGCTTGCTTAGGTGCTTAAAGGAACACCAGGGCTCCCTTGAGCACACCCCTGATTGTGAAGGCCAAGACCAAAGCCACCATTGGTCAGGGCTGGACAACTATGCACACATCTGTAGCTGTCTTAGGCCTCTGAGGTTATTATGAAGGTCTCTCATTAAAGCAAAACAGGATAGGATCACTTGGCTTAGGTGAGAAGCCAGTGATCCTTGAGAGAAGACTAACTCAAATGGCCTCTGCAATGTCACTTTCAAAGAGACTCATAGGACAAGAGAAACCAACTCTCAGAACAGAAGCACCACATACCTGATCTGAGCTTTCAAGTTCTCCTTTTAGCTTCTCTATGGTATCTTCGAGATGTTTCACTGTGACCCGTGACTACAAAGCAAAAGAAATGCCCTGTGAAACATAGGTGTCTAGGGATGTTTCCCAGGACGAGTAGTGCCACCATCTCCAAGCCAAGTTGAAGCTCTGGTGGCCTGTAGCAGTCTCTACTGGGAGTGGGGATAGAGTCCAGCATGAGAACAGGAGCACAATCTCCTAGAGACTGAGAAGCTCCACTGTCATTCTACAGTTCCGCTTCACAGGGTGTCCCCCAGAAATGCCAACAGCGATATGCATCTCCTAAGTGACAGATCCTGTTAACTTCTCTTGTGGGCTCTGGAATTTCAACCCAGCCATGTGTCTTCAGTAGAGTACACTTGGCTTCCCTGAGCCCAGCAGCAATGTCCATGCCACCAGGCCCTGGGGAGATGCACATGCCAAGATACCTTCTGGAGCTCCTCCTCCGCAACTCCCACTTTGGCCTTCCACACCTGCTCCTCCTCCTCGACACTCTTCTGCAGGTCTCTGAGCATGCCCTCCTGCGGCAAGACGGAGTAGAGCGGTGAGACAGGACTGTCACCCTCCTCGGCCCTGCCCTACACTCAAACGCACTCCTGTCCCCAGGTCCTCTGCAATGATGGCGGTTACTTCCTCTGCTTAAGACTCAGTGTTGTGTAGGGAGGGAAGGTGGCCACTGTCCCAGGAGTGAGGTTTCTATCCTGTGTGCTGGCTTGTAGGACCATGCCAGGAAATGAGGTCTGTGATCCAAAGGAGGCTCTTAGAACTGTTGTTGCTCTTGGGCTCTGCCACAGGTGCTGATCCCATTGGTGGCCCAGAACAAGGAACACAAGACAGAGATGCTCAGAACTGGGAAGGGCTGGACCCAGCATTGCTCCTGGAGTCAGGGAGGGGTTCAACCCAGTCAGGCCAAAGCTTACCTTGACTTTTCCCACAACTGCCTGCCCAATTACTCCTTGTTGTTATAACCAAGTCCCTTCTCCCGCTGGGGACCAGCCTCAAACCCTCAACTCGGCCCTCTCCTCAGCTTAGAAATAATGAAGACCTAAGAGACTTATCCATCCCATTACCATCCAGTCTAAGAAATGAGGTCTGGAGGGCAGAGGTCTGCCCAGGTCACACAGAGCCAGAGGGTTTCTGTAGATACTATGCCAATTCCTGCACTCTAGGCCCCAAAGCTCTCCTCCTAGCAGCACCCTCTTATCACCCAGCACAGAGTTCCCAGAGACCCTGCCCTGGCTGCTCACCGTTTCTGCCAGGATGGTGCGGTACTGGTCGCACTCAGCCTGCAGGGTGTTCTGGGTCTCCTCAGCCTCCTTCAGCTTGGAGGCCAGGTCCTGAGGGCAGAGGGAGAACAAGTGTCTAGTGAATCCAACACAGCTACCCGCTGAAACGACTCTGGGCACTTTCTTCCTAGGGGTAGGAGAGCTTGGGTGACAGTGGCAGCCCCTGCCAAGGGCACCTGCTTGGCAGCCTTGCTTACCGAGGAGGGCTCTGTGGTCGCTGATGGCTTCTTCAGTAGCTGGGAGCCCTTTTCTTTGAGTTCCTGCAGCCAGTCAGCATAATTCTACGAGGAAACGTGGAAGGTGAGGGTGGGGAATGCTCCTGGGGGAGTACAATCCCTGGGAGCCACCCCCCACTACCTGGTGTTCTGAGACAGAGAGCTCCGGGAGCAGCGCCAGAAGGGCTTCCTTGGTCTGGGCCTCGGCCAGGCGGAGTTGCTTCTCTGATTCCTCCTGGAAGGGGAGGGGGAGAGGGAGAGGACAGGGTTCAGCCTCCTACCAGGAAGGGCCTCAGCTCCTCCTCATCATCGACAAAAATCGAAGGAAAAGATGGGCTTCCCCAGTCTGTGCTCCCAGGAAGGACAATGGGAAGCCCCAGGTGGCAGGTGCCGGTTACCCCACACCTCCCAGCAGTCACTCAGACTCTGCCAGCTCTTATTTTCCCAGCCCTCCCAGCATGCCTCAGTTAGAGCCAGTGCCAGCCATGAACAGGTATTCCCCAGGGAGCTCATCTCTAGGCACCCATTGGAGGAAGGAAGAATCAACATTCCCAATCTCCAGAGGAAGAAACCAACTCAGAGAAGACAGGGCATCGCTTGGGGTCTCTCCTGAAGCTTGACTTCACACCCTGTATGGGGCTGGACCTGATTTTCCTCAGGTGACAACAGACCCCCAGTCTGACCACAAAACCCCTGGTCTGAACTAAGCCTGAGAAGCAGACCCTTTTTGGTTTGCCCAATTATCCAGAGATGATGCTGTGGCCTGCCCTGGACTCCTGGCCACATGACCACCATGCCTACTCAGGTTCTCCAGTCATGTGTCAGAAGGCAAAGCACATGAGCCTTGGAGGCCACCTTCTGTCTTTCTCTGCCTGTGTGGCCACAAGCTGTCAGCCTGGCAACAGCTTCTGCACTTGCCACACAGTGGCCAGACTATCTCTACACTCACTTCTGGGGCCAAAAATCTAAGATTCTAATAATCTAATTACAACTTCTGCCCTATTGTCTGCTCTCTGGGTCTCATCTTTATACCCTCAGGCTTCCTGGGAGGATCATGGAAGTCACTGCAAAGTTCAGGTACTGGGACAGGCTCTCCCTCTGTTGGAGCAAGGCTGGAAGGGGCTGGCCTTTCACAAGGGATGGAAATGTGTGACAAAAAAGGGTGGGCTAGGGCGTCAGTGCTGCTGCCCTAGTCAGAGCCTCCACACTGACTCCAGCCAGCCCAGGGCAAATGGGGGCCCCAATCACAGAGAGTTGGATACAACACCCTAAAAGCTCACTGCTAAAGATGTCCTCCCCTAAGAACACACATGGAACCAACTGGACGGTGACTTCAGAGGGCCTGAGAAAKAAGCAGGATTATTCCAAGTACCTCTGGATAAAAATAATGATTGAAGGCCATGAAGCCGGTGCAACCCTGGGCACACTCGCAGAGTGTGCAGTCCACAGCRCTCCCCAAGCCCGCTCAGTCTTTGCTGTGGCCATGCTCAGCTCTGTACCCTCATAACAGAGTGCCCAGTTGAGGAAAGACAATTGAGGGTGCACATTTCCCTCCTTTCTCTTAAAGAAAAATGAAAGGGGGGCAGGAAGGAATAGGGAGAGGAAGGAAACAATGAAGAGACTAGAGGACACTGCATGCTGAGCCTGGGGGCCCTGGTACAGATTTATGAGACACTGAGGCCAAGACTGTCCCCTACAGTTTCCATATCTGTGGACTCAGTTAAACCAGGCAGGTGCTGCTATCCCAGCTGGCCAACCTAAGAATGCCCAGGGCTCTGACCTTGGCCTGGGTCAGGGAACGCAGTTTCTCCTCACAGGCCCGCTCAGCCGAGGCCAGTGCCTCCATTGCCTTCCAGTTCTTCTCTCGGAGGTCCTGGGAGGGGAGATGAGGGTAAGTCAGTAGCCCACACCCGTCAGTCAATGACCAGCTCCTGTGGACTGGTCTCAAGCTGGTCTCGGCAAGGGCTGGGCTCAGAGAACCCCATGGCCCCACTTCAGACCCTGTACAGGACCCACTCTTTTCTTGGCTCACATTCATGTGGCCTCTCCTGGGGGCACTCAGCACAAGGCCAAGGTGCTGCCACCTGATGCCGGAATGGTCGAACACAGAGGATGAAGAGGCAGGCGYCCTTTCAGTGGAGACTAGACTGCAGGAGGAGGAAGGACGGATCTATTTCCTCAGAGAGGAGGTTCCTGCCACCAAACAGCAAGCTGACTCCCTCGGCTGGCTCTAGGAGTGAGACCTCCTTTGGGAGCAGCAAGRCAACCAGCAAGCCCTGCTCCATGACAAGGGCAGGTGGGAAGGATGTGGGTGAAGGCCCTTGCCCTCTGGAGAGGGCAGGCATGCCTCTCTCCCCTTCTCCTAGCACCAGCCTCCCTCACCCACATCTGCTCAGGGTGGCTACATGACCCAGACCAGGTCAATCAGTACATGGGTCACACCACTGTCCATGTTTGGGTAATGACGTTACCTGCCCCAAGGGCAGTCAACCCTGAACATATGGAGGAGCTGGGGATGAGGAGGCAGGAAGAGGAAACTCCCAGAGTAAACAACAGTGAGAACAGAGGGAGAATCAGGGCTCCCTGATTGTCCAGGGCAGGTTCTACAGCAGACGCCTTAAGGTGACTCTGAAAACCTTTCCGGGACTCACACGGCTCTGCCTTGGTCCTCCCACCCCAGCTCAGAGGCCCTCCACACTCACATTGTTCTTCCCTTTCTGCTGCTCCACAGCCTCCTTGAGCTCAGTGGCCTCCTTCTCCAGACATGATACTTGTGATTCTAGCTCCTTGAGACTGGTGGGGAGGGGGAGAGAAAATGGTTACCACAGCAGGTCACCACCTCAGCTCCAAGGGTCCGTGCCTACCCTCCAGTTCCATCTCAGGAGGACCCCTTTCTTCTACCCAGGGCACCCAGCCAGCCTAAACCCCCCTCTACCCAAGGAACACCTGCGAGGCACACACACCCTTCTACCTTGCCTCATGCCGACCACTCAGAGGCCAGGGCACTGGCTCCAGAGCAGCCAATGGCCAGCAGAGGATGTGCCCCAGCAGTTAGGTTTCCAGGACATCTACTCTTTGAACTGAGTTTGGTATGACCCATCTTGTCACCACAGAACATGCCAGCTGGCCCTTCCACATGGCTGCACCTGACTCTCAGAACTAGGCTGGGCCTTCTAAGGTGTGAGCTGGAAACTCACAGTAGTGCTGTCACCTCACACCTGACACCACTGCTCTTGACAGCTCCCCAAAGCCTGACTTCTAACTTTTCTGAGAACCAAGGACCAATGGAGGACCATTCATTTCTATATCCTGGGATTTGAGGAAGAAATGAGCCTTGAGACGACTCCCCAGCACTGTAGAATCCCTGAGTGTCAGTGTCTCACTTCCTTGTGCCCTTCAAACAGAAATGAGAGGTCATCATCACTACAGCACTGTACTCAAGGCTCTCGGGACCAGTTCTGAATGGACACTTTTAACAAGCCCCTTTCCACAGTATGATATGCAACAGATGGAGACCTAGGGACATGAGAAATCTAAAGTCTAGAAGTGGTCAACAGTGGTCTGAATCAGCAATTCAAGCCACTTCCTGAGATGCAGGAGGAAGTCCCCCAAAGGAGCTAGCACCCCAGCAGCCTGAGGAAGGAGGGCTGTGGTGGACACTGCAGGCCACATGGGGACAGACGTATTTGTGTTTCTTCTTGAAGGTCATGGTCAAAGACCTTTGAAAACAACCATTCTAACACACACTAATGCTGACCATAATGCAAGTGTGGGCTGAGCATGCTGGCTGTCCTGACCACCTATCTGATAATGAAGTCTGGCTTATCACAGCCTTATTTTTTTAACCTGCATACAGTTTGCATATGGCCTTGAGAGCTTTGTTGACTTTTGGACATTGAGTTTAGGCCCACAGAACTGTGACCCCACCCTCCAAGTTCTACTGAAAGGCTGGGCACGGCAGTGCATGCCTGTAATCCCAGCAGCTCGAGAGGTTGAGGCAGAAGGGTTGCAAGTTCACAGGCAGCCTCAGCAAAAATGAAGTGCTAAGCAACTCAGTGGCACCTGTCTCTAAATAAAATACAAAATAGGGCTGAGGATGTGGCTCAGTGGCCAAGTCTCCCTGAGTTCAATCCCTGGTACCTGCCCCCCCACAGCCAAAATTCTACTGAAACCCCTCAGACTATCCCTCCAGTCCCTGTATTACACTGCAGCATCCTCCAGCAGACCACCTCTAGAGAGACCCCAGAAGAACAAGATCCTGAAGAAGAGTCTGCAGGTCAGTGGTAAGGACACACTGACCCTCATCCCCTTAACAGCTTCTGTCAAGTTGTAGAAACAAAGTTTGGGACTGAATCACTTCTCTCTATCCCAGAACAGGATGGCCCAGCATAAGCAACTTGCAGGTAAACTACTTGAGAAGAAAAGGAACCAGCTTTGACCAGATCATTTCTGCAAAAATTTGAAATTAAAAAATAACTGCAATGTGACTTAATTATCCTAGTAGTTCATTGAGTGGTTCAAGAATCTGAGCTTAAAGAAAAAAAAATAGAGCTTCTCTGCCCCTAAAAAAATAACCACTGTGAGAAAGAAAGTTTACCCATGCTTCCTAGGAAAGGAAGAAGGGAAGGGTTGGGTTCTGGGTCTTCCACAAGAAGGCGGCTGGATTCTTTCTCCAGTCGCCAAACCACAGAGCCCTAGGGATGCTGAGGAACACAGGCTATAAGCCTAGGAAGCTGTACCTGCTGAGAAGCATAATAGTAGGTGACTCTTTGGCAACAATGGCCAGAATAAAGGGATCTTATTGGCTGATATCCTAGAATGCGTCCAGAAGTGTTTRAGCAGAGAGAAAAGACATACTACATGGCTCATCCCACCCAATGCTCAAGGGAACCCTGGCCATGGCAGCCAGGACCCACCTCTCAAGACTGTGAACACCTGTCCCAGAGTTGATGGTCACAAGGACTCTGTTCCCTGATTTCAGCGACTCCACCCAGGTGTCAGCTCTGGCCTTAGCAACAGCAAGCAGCCCCTGAGCAAAAACGTCCAGGACTGGGGCTGCTGACTGAGGGAAAATGAGATCTGCCAGCAATGAAGTCATCACAAACAAAGGAAAACAGCCCGTGGCAAGGTCAGCTCTAACATCACAAACCTCTGGTCCAGCAGACAGCCTGGGCCACAACCATTTCCCCATTTGATTTATAGACCTCAGTCCCTAAAATCTCTTGCCTTTTAATCAGCCAGTCTTCCCCCACAGGAGATGACGACTGGATGGATGCAGCTGGCAAGAAGTCTGCCCCCAACCCACTGAAGCACTTGCCACTCTTCACACAGATAGGTGTTGCTCCTTGAGAGTGGGCACAGAGCTTGCTATGGTTTGGATGTGGTTTGTCCCGTTCCCCCGCCACACACACACCCCGGGTTCATGTCTTGGAAGCTTATTCCCTGATGGGAGTAATTAAGAGGTGCTGGGACCTTTAAGAGGTGAAGCCTAGTGGGAGACAGCTAGGTCACTGGGAGTGCTGCCTTATGAAGGGGCTGATGCTGGTTTCACTGAGTGACTTGGTTCCTGACAGTGAGTTGCTATTAAAAAAATAAGACTGGCCCTGCCCCGATTTCTGGCTTCCTGGCTCACCATGTGCATGCTTCCTCTTTCATGCTCTCCTATCAGCCCTCACCAGAGGTCAAACACAAGGAGCTGCCCAATCTTGGATTTTCTGCCTGCAAAACCATGAGCTAATAAATCTATTCTTTATAAAGTACCCAGCCTAAGGCATTTTGTTATAGCAACAGAGAATACATACATAGCTCTTTGCAAAGGTGACCGTTTGCCTGCCCAGACCTGTCTCCTGTTCTCTAAACCACTAGAATGACAGGAGTAGAAGGGGGCCTCTGAAGAGGTTCTTCCTGGGAAACTCAAGTGCCATAAYGAAAGCCTGAGCTTCCAGGAGCCTTCAGTCACCTCAGCTAAGGCTGAAGTGAGTGGACAAGAGCCCTATGGCCCCCTGCAGCCGCCCTGCCAGCTTACCGCATCTGCTGCTGGTCGGCTTCGGCTTGGCTGGCCTGGAACGAGACACAGAAAATTCCTTGATCTCCACTAGGCTCACTTGTAAAGCAACTAGTCAGGAGGGGAGCCCCTTTCCTCAGCAGTATCCTCCCAGGAGTAGGCTGACCTGGTTATCCCGGGCTTGGCCTGCCTCCAGCAGGGCCTCAATGGACCGAATCCTTTCTGTGAGCTGTGAATTCTCTGCCCTGGCCTCCTTGAGCTGCCCATGAAGACCACTCAGCTCCTCACACTTGCTCTTCACCTCCATCTCAGAGGACTGTAATTTGCTGTGCATCTCTATTGCAGGAAAAGGAAAAGGAAAGAGAAGTCAGGGGCTGGAAATGCCTGGGATGAATACCAGGACTGCTGTCCTCTCCATGACACGCACAGGGCACAGAGCTCCCTCCCCAGCCTCCTCTGTGCCTGGGGATCTTAAGACACACTTTCTAACCACTGGGGCTTCTTAAATCACCACTGAACAAAATCACAGCCTGGTAGTAGCGTTCTTGAGGACTATTAGGGCAAGATGAAATGCCCAAAGGCCACTAATAAGAAAATGATAGAGATTTAAAATGGATTTTGGTCGAAGTTTCTGAAGATTCATTCTCTAGAACACTCTGGCTCATATTAGCTGAGACCAAGGATAGGGGTGACACGGCCAGAAACTATTTTGAAAGTGACTATATGGATCTCGGGCTATACCCTCCCCAGAGCCTATCCTGCCTGGGRCCCTACTCAGGAGCTGTCCTCTTCTTCAGGTGATCTTAAAGTCTCATGGCTGAGTATAGTCCACCTGCCTGTGACACTGCTGTCTCCACCAGGACTGACCTCATCCCCAACCCCAGGCTCTGCCCCCCACCACTTCCAAACAAAATCTAATTTAGCAACTCAAACCACGCCTCCTGCCTCCCAGGTCTCATCCTGGTTGCTCTTTTTCCCTTTTCTATCTCTCTCCCACTACTAAAGCATGGGGACTCCACAGTCACCACATGCCAAATCTGTCCCCATCAGTAGCAGCACCTCTGTGATCACCTAAACCAAGCCCTGTCAMCCTTCTGGACAACTACAGAAGCCTGCCCGTTCTCCCTGGGCCTCTCCTGCCCCCATGGTCCATTCTCCACCCCAGAAGTGCAAATGAAATTGTACCATTCCCCTGCCCCGACCTTCCTGTTAACACGTTTCATAGGACCCAAAATCTTCACAGGGAGGTGACCAGGGCCCTGCCCATCTGGCCCCACATTAATCATTAGCCTTCTCATTCACTTGTTCACCTTGTTTCCAGAGAATGAATCTTTAGAAACCTCCAACTAAAGTCCATTTTAGAGTTCCATCATCTTCTCATTAGTGGTCTGCAGGTATTTCATATTACCCTAGTAGTGCTCATGAACACTGCTTTGTGGCTTTCTAGCTAATAAGAAGCCCCAAGGCCAAGTTCAAGTTCATTCCCCTCTCAGGGGTCTATGCTAGCTAGATTACTCTTCATGGGACTGACCCCTTCCATCATTCTGATCTAGGTWTAAATACCCCTCCTGCCTCAGAAAGGCCTCCTGTGTTTAAAGCCACACCAGGCCTTCTAGACCAGTGATCAGTGAGCTGGCTTATAGGCTCCTCTCCCGTGTCTATTTTATAAACAAAGTTTTATTCAAAAAGATAAGCCTTCCAGATGTAGTGGTGCTTACATCTGTAATCTGAGTTACTCAGGATGTGAAACAGGAAGATCTTAAGTTTGAAGCTAGCCTAGACACCTTAGTGAGACCCTGTCTCAAAATAAATAAATAAATGAAAGAAGGGAGGGAGGGAGGAAGGATAGGAGGGCTGGGTAGCTCAGTGGTAAATGCCATAGTTTTCATCTCTAGTGGGTGTGGGGGAATAGTCAAGGCTGCTTGTTTACACGTTGTTTACGGACACTTTTGTCCACAGCTGAAGAGCTGAGTAGTTGTAATGGAGACTGTCTGACTCAGGAAGCCAAATGTATTTACCATCTGTCCCTTCACAGATTAAGTCCTTGTGTAAAGGGCACTGCTGCATAACCCTGTCCTTGCAGGTGCCAGTGCCCATGGCAGTGGCTCAGGAAATACAGTGAATGAGGGTCAACTTCTCACCAGCCTCACCTGCTAGGTAACCAACCTTTGCAGGCCCTGCCTCTGTCCCCAGACCCCAACCCCACTAGTAGCCCACACAGGCACCATCCTCTATATCCAGCCCTTGCAGGCCCTACTCCCCAAACCCAGTGGACAGTCTGCTCTTAATCTGACTCTGTGACTCCAGCCAGTCCTGACATCCCTGCCTCTTCAACTTTTGGGGTGTGGGGGTAGGTACAGGCCTGGCCTTGGCAATAGGACAGTCGGCAGACTCCTYTGGGACCCATCAGGAGCAGGGGCCATCAGAACACTGCCCTTACCTGCCAACCGCTGCTGCTGCTCCTGTGCCTTTTCGGCATCTGCCCGGAGGCTGGCATGGCTGGTCTGTGTGCGGCACAGCTCCCGGCTGACCTCATCTAGGCGCTTCTGCAGAGCTTCCTCACTCTCCTTGTGAGACACCTGGAGAGGACAGAGAAAAGATGACTGTGAGGAGGGGAGGAGGCTGGGCCCTCATCAGTTCCCAGGTTGAAGAAAACAAAAATCTTTACACCTCCTGCCCTTACCAAAGCCCCATGTGGTCTCTGATTTGTGTATAACGTAAAAACTTCCTAGAATTTGCCCAAATTTCACCCMGCATCCTTTCAGTGAGAAAAGAAGCTGCCAGGGACCTACATGCATTTACCACTTGGGAGGTGGGGGTTGTGAGGTGGGTTTCAATATTTTTTATCTTCTCAAGTGATTTRTAAATACTTGCTTGTACCAAAAGTCCAAGGATACTGATTCAAACAAAGTATATAAGGAGTTTCCCAGTGGAATCCTTGATGCCTTCTCCAGAAGCAGACAGTTGGCTGGGTCTCCTGCCTATAGCAATATGCGTTTATACCCACATGGATGTGACACATGCTTAGGATCATTAATATGGCATTCTCTTRGTTCTTTCATTTAATATTAGAATGAACCACATAAAATTGCCAGTATTCAATCTTTCCTCCACAAAAATGACAATTTCATATTTTTCAATCTGGTATCTTACAGACTTCCACATCATTGGGTCCTTAAGAACCACACACAGCTTTGAGGTGCCGAATGTTTCCCAATTTCCCCATTCAGTGGCAGGCAGGTTGCTTTCAACCTCTGGTGGTCCCAATCAATACTCCAATGGACACGCTAGTCAATGATTCCCAAAACTGAGCTTCTGGGATAAGAATGTTGGTCAAAGCCTCTCACATCATCAGATCTTCAAAGAAACTAATTCTCCAAAGGACCAGATCCCTGGCTACAGAATTAACAAGCTCATTTTGGACAGGGCCAGGAAGGATCTGACAATAAATGCCTCTCATTGACCCAAGTGAGGCTCCAAGTCATGCTTCTATCACCACACCCCAATTTCTTTTTCTTTAGCCCARTGGCTACACAACATGGTGCTAGGCTAAATGCTCTGAAGAGAACCATGAAGGCAGAGGTAGATCTGGAGCCAGAAAAGTCGTTGTCAAGTCATTGCATCAGACTGTAGACAAACATGTACTGTACAAGACAAAATCAGGACAGCTTTAGGGTCCACAATGTTTTCTGCATTGGCATATAGCAAGGGGTCAGTTTCATTCTAACTCCAAGGGATAAAAGAGAAGGAAGGAATGACTGCCACAGGCTYCTCGGGAAGCAGACCAGCTTTTTCTCCTGGGCCCAGCCTCCCTCTCAGAGCTACAACATCCTTAGCTCTGCTCCTGTCACTGAGATGGTTTTTCCAGATTGTCACTGGAGAAAACCACTAGCAATTTCTTCCTTTCTTTTTCTTCTTTAAGAAAGGGCTGTAGGGAGACTGAATGTTTTTCCATTCATTAGAATAATGATTCCAGGGCTGGGATTATGGCTCAGTGGTGGAGTGCTCGCCTAGCATGGGCGGGACCCGGGTTCGATCCTCAGTACCACATAAAAATAAAGGCATTGTGTTGTGTCCATCTACACCTAAAAAATAAATATTAAAATAAAAAAAAAAGAATAATGGTTCCAGCAACAAGCAAACAACCCACCCGCCTTTGAAACCAAAAACTTAGACTCTTCAATGGAATCCATGAGYATACATCTTAGGATCACAGTTGCCTGGAAGGAGAAGGTAGTCAACACAGCCAATCACACTGAGCAATTTCAAAAGCTGGTCCCATGGCCAGTCGGGGATTGGTATAAAATGCTCCTGAGTTTCTAAAATTCAGTTGACTCACTGGAACAAGAAGCCAAGACAAGTGCCACCAGCACTTTCAAAGGACCCTTTGCACTCTCCTTCACATAGGCCTCGTCAAGCCACTAAAGGAGAAGGGAGGAGATGGGGGTCTGCTTCCTGATGCTAAAGCTCTATTCCCAAGGTAAGCACAGGAGGCCACACCCATCCTGGTCCTTGAAGAGCTGGCTCACAGTGAAGACGCCTCGGGTGAGAGAAGGATAAAATGAAAAGAGCCCCATTTCCACTTCAGCACAACAGGGAAAGGCCCTTTCCACAACCTACACTTCTAGTCAGAGAAATTTCCTGAATGGGACCCTGGCATTTATTGAACTTGTTTTCTGCTCAAGGCAGAGTTCTAAGTCTAGGCTCTGAGTATGTCAGCACAACTACCAGGACATACCCACAACTACCCCAAAGGACAGACACTRAAGCTCTGAAATAACTTGCTGAAATCTGAATCCAGTAGCTGCTGCCAGGGGCCTTCACTATCAATATCATGAGGGACAATGCCACATCCCCCAACCTCCCTGACCACATGCCACAGAATTTGTGGTGTTAAACTAGAAAGAATGGACTCCTCTGTCTAGGCCCAGGCTGTGGATGAGAGTCCAGAGACCTCAGGGRCAGCAGACATCTGCAGGTGGTAATTTGCTAGTAAGAGCCAGGGCCAGGCCTCCACCCTTAGGAATGACATGTGACAGAAAACCAGGCTGCAATAGTGAAAAGTCCTTCCTCAGATGTATCAGAAYCACCTAGGAGCCTTTAAAATATATCCCCAGGCAGGCCCACTTCCAAGAATCTGATCTCAGTGGTCTGCTTTCCAAAAAAATCAGAAAATACCAAGTTATCCATCTTGATTCCACTCAAATTCAAACTGTGCTTGTTATGTTCTCTTTTAGTATCTTGTATCCATTCAAACATCAGTCTTAGAATTTCATGTCTGGCTACTCTAGTCCCATAGCTTGGTTTCGAAGATACAGCAGAAAAAAACAACCCAAAGCCCCTTGAGTCACCAGGATTTCCTTGTTTTCCAGTGATTTAACCTCCACATGAGTATGGCATCAAAGCTCCTCATGCCTAAGGTAACTGCCCCAAGCCTGGTCAAACTTCCCTGACACAAGCCAGTGGAAACACTGGAAATCATCAGACCTGTGGGCAGYAAAGCCCCCAGGCTGAGGAAAACATGCTAGATGATGCCCAGTGCACTAAGGGAAAAACCTTCCTCTCTTTGAAGGAGAAAGGACACACTCTTGGGGAAAACAGATTTTAGCTATATCCAAAGGCTAAGAAAGAAGAAAATCCCACCTGTCCTCGAAGCAGTAGGATTTGTATGTAGCCAGTTAGCTCACTGGCTTCTCCACTGCTGCAGGATCACAATGGTGGCAAATATGGGAGGATAAATACAGATCTAGAGCTAGACTCAGGGGGTTCAAATCCTGCCTCTACGGTGTCCTAAATATGATTGCTAACTTCTTTGTGCCTCAACTGTGCTTATGGGTAAAATGCAAACACTAAGAGTAGGTACCTCATAGGGTTACAATGTTTATAAAATGCTCTAAACAAAGCTTAGCACACAGAAAGCATCCATTTAATGCTATCACTTTTATTAATGAGGCTAGCTAGGGTTGAGGGTTCAAGAACTGCCTACATCTCCATCTGTTACTCATGGCTAGAAAGGGATAACTTAGTGTGGCTACAAGCCCTGCCCATCCCCATAATGCAGACAGGCTCAATGGGCAGTGAATGAGGGCACTGAGGCACCCCTACTCACCTGCAGCTGCAGGACCTGCTTCTCAAAGGCAGCTGCCTTCGCTTCCAGAGCCTTCCGCTGCTGTTCCTCCTGCCTCGAGGCCTCTGACTTCTCCATCAGTTCCTTGCTGACCTTGCTGAGCTCCTGCCGGAGCTTTGCCAACTCTGCATTCTGCCTGTAAGACAGTCACAGGTCCCTGAGAAACAGGTGATATGTGGCCTATGCCTCTCTGGTATATCTGCTCTTTTTTGAAGTATGTGCTCACATCTTGGAGCCATCACCAAGGCCTCTTTTGCATTATTATCCATTGAAGTTTGGTGTGTGYTTTGTCAAAGATGTTGTTTTACCAGTATAGCATATGGACCAGAGAGAGCAAAGGGCAAATTATGTGCCAAGCCTCCCACAGGAGCTCAGAAACTACAGGAAATTCACACAGAAAAAGGGTCAGATACTCTTCTCATTGCTGACCTGGGTACAAAAGAGCTGCAGATGAGGTAAACATGCCTTGCTCCCTGCAGGGCAGGGCAGCAGCTTGCAGAAGCCATGTGTCCCACTCCACTGGCCTACACAACCATGACCATGCCAGGGAAACCATTCTCAGCCATAGCCCAAGGCACTTATGGAGCAGACCCTTCAACACTGCATGCACTTCAAAGTGGTTCTCAGGACCTGAGAGCAATATTTGGAGTTACAGAAGGAAACTTGATTAAGATGAAGGAGGGCAGCTGTAGGCCTGCTCCTTTGCAAGCATGAATTGACAATAAGACACCACCAGACAGGGTAGCAAAACCTGGTCTAGGCCAGCCCTGCTCTGCTGACAGGTGGGGTCCCACCTTTCTGACTTGGGTTTCCTCATTTGCACCAGCTCCTGTGCTTTACAATGCCAAGACTCAAGCAACCTGGGGTGGAAGTGGGAGGCTGGGTAGCAGCCCCTTGGGACTGCTTTGGAGCTGAAAAAACCCAACACCAGGCAGGGCTTCCAGACTGATAAGAGGCACAGCCACCACATCCAGATTGACAAGTCCCCATGCTTTAGAGCTTTTCCCAGTAAGGAGGCCACAACAGATTCTGTATCAGGGAAGCCAGCRTGTTCTTCAGCCCCATGCTCCTCTTGTGCTGTGGCTTTTGAGGAAATGGCAGTCTAGACACTGATGTGTCAGGGAGGAAATGAAGATGTGCACACACACCTGGAGGTGACCTTGATAGAAGGACAGCATGGGAAAACAGCTGTTAGACCTCCCTCCACTCTAGGGAGCCACCAAAAAGCCATGTCTAGACTTCTTTCCCTGCCCAGCTCCTGTACTAGGGCTCTCCCCATCTGACTCCTGGCTACATGATGAGTGCCAGTGCTTTCTGCCTTAGCCAGTCCTCTCTTGGTAGGAGGACACGCTCTGGGGATAACAGAACCCCATAAAGTCTAAAGTCCCTACAGGGCACTTCAAGCCAAAAGAAGGCAGACAAGCACATGGATAGACAGCCCACTGGKTTTTTTTAAGGGATGGCCCAAGTCAGGGAAGCAGAAGAGAGTATGGCTGTACTCAACAGCAGAAGTGAAGAGCTGCCCTCCAGAGCTGACCAACTCACTGTGGGCTCTGTGACATTTTAGCAGAGGCAAGAGAATAGGAATTTTACTCAGCAGGCCTGTGTACTATACAGTATTCATTACCAGGGTGTAAGAATGGAAGAGGGCACTGCCAGTGGAGAATGAGGTCCCCACACCACCAACAAACTTTCATCCTGGACAAACAGCTTGGCCGTGATACTCTAGGTCACAACCAGGAGTTTTATGAAGCCCTCCATGGGGCATGTTATGAAGATGGGCACKGGGCAAGTTTCACTCTTCCAGGAAAGCAAGAAGCTAGCAGCAGCCTGGGGCTGAGGGTACATGATCCCACTGATACCATGCATGCTAGCAAGGCCAGCCTAAGGTTGGAGCACCCTGACTCTTGCTGAAATCTTCACTACCTGAAAGGTACCAGGCCACCTACCAGAAGATTCAGCTGCTCAAACYCACACAAAAGATGGACGCTTGGGATGTGGCCCAACACAGGGAGGGAGCAGAAACACCCGCAGCCAGGCCAACCCCACATTCAGTAAGAACTAGAGTGCACTATGACGGCCTTGCAAGAGACCTACAGAGTCACCTGGATTCCAAAGCCCTTGGAATGTGAAATAGTGGTATCTGCATAGGATGCTCAACTTACTTGCTCTCTACCTGGCTTGTGGCCTGGTTCAAGGCATCTCTCAGGATAGAGTTCTCCTGCTGCAGGCAGGCCAGTTGGGTATTAGGGCCATTCTCCAGCTGTTCCTGAAGAGTTCGGATCTGAAAAGTCATTAACAAGGTCATCAGAGTGTTGACCATATCAAGAAAATAGATCTCTGGGGTAGGGTTAGTGAGGTTACAGCTCACCAACAGAAAACCCCAGAGGCTCCACTTGCTCCACATAGAGGTTGGGAAAATGCTATAAAATAAGAGGACTGAAAACAGCATAGCTCCAGTGTCAGGAGCTCAAAGCTAAGTGTAACCCAAAGCAACACACCCTTTCTTCCTCCTCACTGTTCTCAGAACTCAGCCTGAACTCCAGTTGAGCACTCAGCTAAGAGCCTCAGAACCACTCCATGCATGTCTGCCTCCAAAGTCACACGGGTTGACTCTTCYGAGATAAAGTGATAAACCACAACTACCAGAAATGAGAAAGACTCATTTCTGACCYTCTAACCTCCCTAGCACCTCCTGAGACGTGCAATGGGGAGGCAGCCATGGACCAAGCAAAGGGCAAGTGTCAGGAGATTAAGCTTCAGGCTCTGACAAGGAAGGCCAGCCTGGACAGGCAGCAGCCCCACAAAGATGTGCTTGGGCCATCCTGGAGCTATGGAATTTCAGGCCTACTATTTTACAGAATCATCCCAACAATATCTGGAGAAGGTGGAGCTGACATTATTCCAGGTTCACTTGGAAGCTAACACCTTGGTCCATGGTGGGCCCCCACAAACTGGGACACAATGCTGGCCACTTGAGGCTAGGCTCTTTTTTTTTTTTAACTTTTAAGATGTTAATGGACCTTTATTTTATTCATTTATCTATACGCAGTGCTGAGAATTGAACCTAGGGTTTCACACATGCTAGGCAAGTGCTCTACCTCCAACCTGAGGCTAGGCTCTTTTGGAAGTGTTCTTTAAAATATATTTTATGCCTTTCTGATTATTAACATAAAATGCACACATAACGGGCTGCCTGGCACCATTCAGCCAAATGCCACAGCCCCAGGCCCCTGCAGGCATCCTCAGCCCTGGGCAGACAGACCTTGCACTAAGCCTGTCCCCTTCCATACCTTGCCCTGCAGCTGCTGCACCTCCTTCACATGCTCACGGTAGCTGGCCTGCATGCGAGCCTGCACAGCTGCAATCTCCTGTTCCCGGGCCACCAGTTGTTTTTTCACCTTGGCTTCACCAGCCGCTGCCTTGGCCTTTTCTGCAGCCATCTCCTGGGAGAATTGGAAAGAAGGACTGGTCAGCAGAACAGAGATGAGGTCAGATTTCTTCTCTTTCTCTTTTTCTTTCTTTGGCAGTATTGGGGTTTGAACCCAAGTTTACAGCTACCACTGAGCTACTCCAGGAGTACAGGGAAGAAAAGTGCCGAAACGCATCTACAAACATTTAACTACTTATAATTAGAGGAAGATATAAAATGCCAACAAAGGTTTTCTCTCAGCTACAGCTGGTCTCAGCCTCTGTGGCCAGAGATTGCTTCCCAAGGCTTGAAGTCTACCACACACAGATATGTGACAACAACCTCCTCTTAGGTCAGGAGGTAAGCAAAGGTAGGACACATGGGGCACAAGTGAGCAACAGGGAAGGGGAGGAAGTCCAGAAGAGGGGTGGGAAAGACGTGGAGCTCAGGGTGTASACTTGGGGCTGAAGATTAGGAGCCACTGGCAGAGCCTGAAGGGCATCGTCTTAGGACAGATAAGCATTTGGAAGCTCAAGAGGACCTCCTCARGCTGCAGAGACCGGAATGTGGTCAGGAGACAGAGAGCTGTGGTTGGACATACTGTTAAACTTCTTTTGCCCCARAGTCAAGGCTGGCAGGTGAGAAGGGGAATAAAAATCATAGGCTGTAACTCTGCAGCTCCTACTAAGGGACACATTCTATTTCCCCAACAGGGGTGGACAGGATACGTATCTCGACCTGATTAAGGTGTCTGGACTGTGGTTTGGAAATTGTGTCATGCAGCTACCTCTGAGGAAGATCTTGGGCACTGAATGGCCAGCAAACACAGGGGCCACATCTAAGGGGGCCAACAACAAGGGGCACTCCCTCCCTCACACCTGCCACCCTGTCCTTTGTGGACAGAGACCCCATAATAGGAAAGAGGGACACAATTTGCCACAAATGTGACTCACCACAAAGCCCATTCTAAATAAAAAGGGGGCAGCTACAAGTAACTAGCCAGGCAAAACCAGATGGCAATGTAAACACCCCCCGATTCCTGTCACTTAAATTTTCATGAAATTTCTCAACTTGGTTTAGAAAAAGGATACAGGAAAATGGACTCTTAATCAGTGGGAACACTAATCAGTTGGTTCTTGAGTGGTAGGAAAGTTCTGATTCGCAGGACTGGCCAAATATTGTGGTGTAATACTCTTTGCCACAGCCTAGGCCTAACTCCAGCATGATGTGTGTTGAGTCAGGAGGAGATGTGTATATCTGACACTGGTGAACAAGGGCAAGCGGCTCTAGCTGCCCTGCATCTGACCAATAACCCAGGGTGGTTCAAGCAAAGATCATGTGTAGATACATCTTGGAAAAAAGAAAGAAAACAACATGGATGGATAGGTCACTGGGCACTAGGGAAGGTCATGGGAGCCTTGTCTGTTTGKTTGGTTGGTTTCTGCTTCTGGGTAAAACACAAAGAGTAAATATCCAAAGGCTCTTCTGCTCTCCAGCCTGTCCCCCCCACCCAAAGAACTTTCTTGTCTGGCTCAGAGGTACATCCCCTGAATGAACAATAAAATTATTTCATTTCCAATTCTTCTCAAGTGAGCAGATAGAAGTGCCTAGAGGAAGAACTGCAGCCAAGATGGTGTTGGACCCTCCTCAACCTAGGCCATCTCCCCACTGGCAGGTAGGTGGGCAGAGGGCAAGAGCATTCCTGCAGGTCTCTGCAGGGGAAAGACAGCTTTCCAAGCAGGCAAGACCATCCCTGCAGAAGGCTCCCCTTGCCCTGCCGAGCATTTCCTCCATGAAGGCTAGAGAATCAGGACTCACCCCTCAAAAACAGACAAACCAGGAACAGACCCCAATGAATTAGGCAGAGGGAAGAGCAGCCCCCTACGCCTCAGATCCTTACCCATTTTGACTGATACCCCCAGTTCACTCCCATAGCACTGCAACCCCATTACCAATTACCATTCAGAGTACAACTCTTCCCTGACCCTCCATGGATCTAAGGAGCCAGGTGCTTACTAATACATCATTACACTGACATCAGAAAAAAAGGAGAAAAGCAGTGCCTTTTGCCTCCCTGCCCCAATTTTCAAGGAAATTCAACCTTAGAACAACTGTGTCCACTCTCCTTTCTAGAATATTCCCCTGTCACCATGAGATTGACCAGGTTCATCTCCATGACAAACTGAGGTCCCCAATCTTTGCTTGACTTGCATATGTTCCTGCAACTATAAAGAAAGAACCCACTCTGCTCCCGACCCAACCTCACCCCTGGGCTCTTCAAAGACAGCATGTAATCTCCAGCCCCATCAGTCACAGGTTTGACAACAGCTCCATGCCTAGCATGCAAGTTGGATGGGAAAGCTGCCTGTCTCAGAGCTGATCCTGGCCTGGTTATCATGAWCAAGCACAATCATGGCCCAGGGAGGGGCCGGCAAGGGACTGGAAGGTGTGCTTCCTGAGTGGGCTCGCCTTCCTGCTTGGGCTGTACCTTATTGAGTTCCCTCAGTTTGCTCTTGGCAACAGCTGCATCTTCCTGCTCAGTGGCCAGCAGCTTTTCCTTCTCTTCCAGCTGGCGTTTCAGAATTGCCACAGGGTCGCCCTTCTGAGTGGCCTAGAAATGCCATGGAGCCAATGTTAATACAGGGGATTGACAGACAATTTGCTTGTCCCCTCCCCCCACCCTACCCCCAAGCAATCAGGTAAGAGGGAGGCCCGAGGGTCTGATGAAATGGGAACAAAAGCTTCAAGGCAAGCAGGTCCACACTAACTCCAGGCATCTATAGGGAGAAAAGGTGGCCCTGCTCAGCCACTCAGCCTCYGCAATAGGGATTCCTGGGGTAGTACTTAGGATCCTCGTATTTCCAGCCCCCTGAGCCAGTATGTGCAGTCTGGAGGCCACTGGTTGCAGCCCAGGGGGCCAGAGGGAGGTGTACTCTGGAGACAGTGGCCTGAACTGAGTCTCTTGTGTGGTTACCCTGAACTCCTTCAATACTCATGCCCAGTAGACCCCAAACATTCACTGAGCAAGGAGCTCCCAGTATCGTTGAGATTATACATGATGCATGACACCCCCCAGCAACAGAAAGGAATTAACTCCCACTGGCGTCAGGAAAGAAGCTCCCAGCCTAGCTCTCAGGGCACCCCCAAAACTTCTAGCCACTAAATACTCCAGAAAAGTTACCTTGACTCCAGACTTTGGCTAAGAAAGAAACACATGCACACAGCATTTCTGGGGCAGAGGCACCAAAGGGTAAGACTCAGAACTTGCCCGATACCATGAGGTCCATCAGAGAAGCTCCTCAGGGCTCACCATCAGGTTCTCTCACCCAGTGTTCCTACACCTTCCTTCCCACACTCTGAGCTCTGGCCACAGATCAGTGAGGCCCCACCTTGTGTGTTCTATTCCCCAGACTCCCTGTGATGCAGAGGTCTGCCTCTGACTCTTAAGAGGCTTCCCATTTTGGTAGCCAGGCTGGTAGCCAGAAGCCAAAGCATTTTCAGGGTGATTCACGCTACTTGTGCATGGGCATGAGTGGCTAGGTCCTGCCAGGAAGATGTGAAGAATGTTTTAGGAAAATTCTCTCTGCAGCCTGGCAAGCAAGCATGGTTGATGAATATTTCCCGGGGATGGAGGTGTCTCGGACCAGGCAACCACTACAGCTCAGTGGTCCCTGAAAGGCAGTGGAGAGGGGCCACCAGCCCCAGCCCACTACAATAGTCTCTGAATGGGCCCACCTTATGCCAGGTGTCCTGAATGATGCCAGTCTTCTCAGACAGGATCTCAATGAGCTGCTGGGCCTCACCCTCATTGAATACCATGCTTCCAACCGTGGAGACCAGTGTCTTGTAAGGCAGGTACAGAGGGCTATTGGAATCCAGGGACACTGAAATAGGAAGGAGCAGAGCATTATATTCACACCCCAAAATGACAGACGCCATAACAAAGCCCATCAGAAGGAAAAGGATCTGGTCTGTCCCTCTGCCTGGGTTCAGCAGGCTGGTGGCATTGTGCTCCTTCAGGGCATTGAAAATGAACAAACAATGGTACCCTGCACTGCCCTTTTAACTTGCCAGAGAAAACCCCAGCCTGGGATCGAGTAACATCCCTTTATCATCAGGATGCAGAATTAAGCAAGGGGTACTTTTCCCAAAGTTTTTTCTCCCCTTCTCCACTCCTTTTTTTCTAGCAAATACCTTGGTCTAGTTCTCACCCTGTACAACTCCAGAAGATTTTCCCTTAACTAACATGTCCCTGTGTTCCTATAGGCTCTGACTGCTCAGGGAATCCATCATTGACCACTTGCAGAACCCCCAGGATGGCATACTCCAAGCCACGCAGAAGGATGGAAAATGAGGGAGGCTGCTTCCCATGTATTCAGGGTCRAACACTCTATTTCCAACACTCCCTGAATGAAGCTTAATCAGTGACAGGTTTGGGGAAAGGACAAACTGGGCTAGACTCTTCCAGAATGGGCTGGTCTACTCGGTGGTACCTGAATGACTTCCTAAAGGACACAGAGCCATTCGCCAACAACCAATTATCACTAATGAAGAACTCCTCATCACCCTCCCGCTCCCCATGCACAGTKTCTCTCATCACGGTTCTCATGCAGCCTAGAGATAAGAAAGGGTAAACTGAGGTGTCTTGCCTGAAATGCTAAGGCAATTCCTTCCACTGAGGCCCAAATCTGCACCATGGCTAAAACAGAGGGCCAAAAATGAGCTAAAACAAGATGAAACAACAACAAAAAGAGAGCAGCCTGCAGCAGCACCTTCAGCTAAGCCCACCTTACAGGGACAAAAAATGGGAAAGGTTTCTATAGCAACCTCGAATTTTCTGACTTGTCACAATATTTTTACTTACCAGTCACAATATTTTCATTACAAGTTAAAGCACTTAGCATGATACCTTAATAAGGGGAATGCAGGATGTGGGCGAGCTGGTTKCTATGAACACCTTTTATTTTATAACTTCTTACCCTGGTGAAGCTTGGGAGATTAAAAAGAATGTGGTTCACATTGAAGGCCTAAGAGTTGGTAAGTGCCACAAAAATGGGTATGGGAGGGTATGCCCCCTTCTTTCTTTACACTGGGATATCTGTATATAAAATAATTTTAATTATAAACTTATGYACACAAGAGAAAATTCTGGGTATACACRAGGCAAAAATAAGTAAATAAATACATAAAGACCCTTGTGAGCTCACCCTCAGAAGACACCCCCATTGGTACCATTTTGGCTATGGTTTCTCGTTTCCCCCCTCAGCCTCCAGATGCATGTTCACTGTCAGCACTGTCCAGGAGAAGAAGACCACCTATTCAAAGACACAGGGAGTTGCAGAAGAGGCAGGACAGCCATGAAAGCCTATGTCCAGCCAATGGCTGCAGAAACATTTCCTTTTCTGATTCAGAAAGGTCCAGCCACACGTGGCCACTGAGCACTTGCAATGTGGCTTGTGAGATTTGAAATATGCTACAAGTGGAAAGTATATAYGGGATTTCAAAGACTTTGAGTTTAAAAAAAAAGTGTGAAATAGACGTAATAATTTTATATATCGATTACTTATTGAAATAATGTTTTGGATAAATTGGGCTAAATATGTCATTAAAATACATTCCATTTGTTTCTTCTTGGCCTATGTTAAGTGGCTCATGAGGAGCATTTCGGTTACATAAGTGGCACATGGCTGCAGCTCACACTATATTTCTCCTGGACTGTAGTCTCTACTCCTTTCCAGTTCTGGGGACCTGTAAAATGCTTCCTGCTGAAATCCTGGCAGGCACTGTCTTTGAAAAGGGTCCCAGGTGACTGAGGACTCTGGCCTCAGTCTTTGAAGACACTCTGTCAGGCCCTGTGGCCCCACTCCACCAGGGGAACATCTGGATAACACCACTGGAGGAGGCCTTGCTAGTGAACACCATTTTCCTCACAGGCTTCGCCCCAGCCAGATGCCTCCCCAATCTTGGCACGTGTATGCACTCCTGCATGCTCTGTCCACAGTGTTTCCTAGGGTCTTCTTCCAGCGGTATTCTAATGAATCTTTATTAAAACTTTCTAGTATAATTATATTAAAAATTGTTAGACATTTTAATTTAAAAATATAAGCAACTTATAACAAGTAAAATAATCCTAAGCTATGTAGAGCAAAACTGAACACTCTTCTCTGCCTCCTCACCCCAACATAAACTTTCACAGAAATTTCTCCATGCTTACACAAACACTCCCTTTTAGGTTATTTTTAGAGAGCCATTAACTTCACAAAACTTTTTTCATTAAATATTTTAGGTAAGAATTGCACCACCTCTATTCTCCCCAAATCAGGAGCAGTAAAACTGAAAAAAAAAAAAAAAAAAAGGCAAGCACTTAGAAGCAGGAATCAGAACTTCTGAGCTTCTCAGTGAATCACAAACATCATACCCACAGGAGCCTAACATATGCCTGACACCTCACTCAGGTCTCCAACAAATACTTGAGGACTTGGTATTGTGAACTTTTAAGGCACTAAAATCAATCCAAAATATATGCCAAAGATATGTATATGTTAAGCCACAGGGTTCAAAAAAGCATAGGAGCAGGGAATTTTAGAGGAGACCAACTCCCTGAGGGGCAGCTGCTACACTCAGTGTTTGCCTCTTCTTGGTGGGTTTCAAAGTCCAAGAAAGGACAGGCCAGGAGGCTTGCAGAAGGAGGAGGAGGAGGAGGAGGAGGAGGAGGAGGAGGAGGGAACAGAAGAGTGAAGGAGATGCAGGCTGTGTCTTGCTGTGATGGTATCATCAGACCCTTGCCTGGTCGTGGACACAGAAAGAGGTGTTATGACAAATGTCCACACAGGCCTGGTCCCAAGGGATAAGCCTCCCCTCAACTGGGTGGTCCTAGTGTGTTACCTCATCTCCAGGTGACGACTCCCAAGAACCCTCAGAGCTGCAGACTTGTCCAAGAGACTAGAAATAAGATTTTCATGTGTACCTCCTGACCCTCAATGCTCACAGCTAACTCAATAAAAAATAAATTAATAAAACCACCATGTTGCTGAACAAATACATCCATGGATCAGGTTCAGTCTGCAGGCCACCTCTGCCCTTGGCCAGAGCAAGGCCTTTGTAGCCAGGTGGCCTGGGCTATAGCTTTTAACTTAACTCCTTCCCTCCTGAGTTCTTTCAACAAGGGGCTTAACAGCATCCCCCCCCCCTTTGCCTCTCTTTCTCTGTGAAGTAGGAGTAATAATCATTCCTTCCTAACAGTGTGGCTGCAGATAGTATACTGCAACATGCTTGAGACAACGCCTGGCACAAGGTAAAGCACTGAACAATAAATTCACAGGACCAGCCTTCAAGGACCCCAGGAAGAATACAAGACCTTGACCCCCTTCTAAAGAGAGCCCCCTGCCCATTGCCTATTCTCAACAAAGGAATGAAGAAGTCATGCAAGGGTGAAGCTTGGGAACCATCCCCTCCATGGCCAAATCTGTCCAAGAAGATAGGTTGGACAGAACACCAGAGTCGGGGATCCCCTTGCTCTAGCCTCACACCATTGTCCTTACTCAAGATGCTAAATTTAAGTAAGCAGAGCCTTGTGCTTCTAGAGCTCCCCACTAAGACGCTTGCAGTGGCTCAGAAAATGTGCTTAAAGCCCCAAACTTCAAAACTACACTGCCTTCTGTGACCACACAGGAAGGCTTTATCACCTAAAATTAAATTTCTTACAAAAAGGCATTTAGGGGTCTCTTTCTCTTTCGCTGCCAACCATGAATTACTTTGAATAAATTATTCTTTGCCTGCATAATCACCAGGCCTCAGCCATAAAAGGAAGATGTCAACCAAAAGGGGATTCCTGAGACTAGGCAGCCCAGTGCTAGATCAGCAGCTGACCCCCATCTCAACCCCCCGATCTCCAGTGTGTAACTGCTGGAAAGTTCCTGCACAGCTCACACTCAACCTCCTTTCCCAAAGGGGAGAGAATCAAACCATTCCAGTTCCAGGAACTGCCTTCTGGGTGCCTGGTGACAGCTGGTGGCTAACAGGAGGGGTCATCACCTCAGCGCCAGTTTGGGCCAATCAAAAATCTCCAGCTCAACTCCAGCTGTTGCTGCAGGTACCCAGTTGCCCTGCCCAGAGCAGGCAAGTCCAACTAGTCTCCAAACACAAATACTGTACCTACTGTGTACCCAGCAGTATGCAAATACTAGGCCTGAAAAGGCAAATTAGAAGCAGGACTACATGTAGAAAAGGCAGTGGACAGGGGGGAGTCATGCAACAGCGTAATATGAAGGAGACCGGGGGAAGCTCCTACTGTAGCAACATCACTTTAAAGCAGGCCCCTAAGTCAAGCACTACTACAGGAATGGGAGYAGCCCAGGAAAGGCACTGAGACTAGCAGGAGCCTGGCTAGTCAGATTCCAAAAGAGCTGGAGTAGGTCCAAGGCTTCACAGGCTCCAAGGATCTGGATTTTACCCTGTAGGCAGAGAAATGCCTAAAAGGGAGCAAGGTCTATAGTTTGGGGAAATGATTTCAKTATGCCAAGATGGACCAGGATAGAGGCAGACAGTACAGGTAAAACCCCCAAGACAAGGGTCCAAACCCAAAAGTATTTAAGAAGCCAAGCTAGTGGGAGAAAGGCCCATGCTCCTAACATGGAGCATGATCTTGGGGGCTGGGAAAAGAATCAAAATCAGCTCCAAAATCAGCTCAGGCCAGGCACTGGCCAGCCTTCCTGACAACAGGCAGGCAAAGGAAGAGTGCCTACATTGACCCCTGACTGCTAAGGACAATCACATCTGGCATTCAAGTGCACTGGAAGTAAGCACAAATCAGGTTGGGGCCTTTACTGAGCCCTTTCCCTTTGATTAGAGGAAAAAGTAATGTTACCAAATTAAGAGGACATGA